TCATTGGGATCTGATTGTATCCAGAGTACGCATCGAGGAATGTAAGTCTCTTATAACCAGTGGTAGCATCAACCATCTGGTCTATCTTGGGTAGAGGAAAGCTATCTTTAGGGTAAGCTTTATTGAGATTTGTGAAATCAATGCAAGCACTCCACTTCCCATTCGCCTTTTAAACCACCACCACGTTCGAGAGCCATTATGGGTAATGCACTTCTCAGATGAAGCCTGCCTGAAGCAGTTTGCCCACCTCTTCAGCAATAATTCGATTACCCTCGGGAGTGAACCTTCTATGTCTTTGCTTAACTGGCTTGAACGCCGGATCCACCTTCAGGCTATGGCATAAGATTTAAGGGTTGATCCCAATCATGTCCGAATGGTCCCAGGTGAACGCATCTGCATTTCATCGGATGACGTCAATTAAAACTTTCTTCTCTTCAGCTGATGGGGAAAAGCCCATATACGTGACTTTCTGAGGATTACCGAGGACAACTTTGACGGTCTCGAGGGATTCCTCGGTGAGTTTTGTAGCTTCGGCTTCCTCCTTTGCCTTCAGGTACTTAGGCAGAGGGCTCTGTAATTACTATTTGGCAATACTTTCGGGGGTCGCCTTTGGCTCTGGCCGAGTCTGGTTGGTTCATTTTTTTACCTCCTTCGACGTCAGCATATAGCATTCTTTTGCAGCGATTTGATCTCCCTATAGATTAATAACCTCTTTGCCGTCCGGAGACAAGCATCGCATCACTTGGTGAAGGGTAGACGGGACCCCATTCATTTGGTGGATCCAGCTTCTTCCCATAATGAAATTATAGGAAGGGTGGATTTTTGTTAGAATAAATTTGTCCTTCAATATCCTTTTCGCTGCGGTAACAGACAAATCAATTACCCCTATGGGGTCTACCCTTGTGCCATCGAACCCCATTAATAGACTAGATATGGGCCGAACCGATGATGATGGGATTTCCAGTTACTTGAAAACTGTTTTGTGATAATATTGGCACTACTACCGGGGTCCACTAAAACTCTTTTGATCATATAATTTGCCACTAGAAAACTGATAACTAATGGATCCTCGTGGGGAAGCTGAACCCTGGATAAATCTCCATCGCCAAACCCAATACTGATACTACCCGAACTGATTGTGTTTACCGCAGACAACCTCCTTAGCTTATGAGCTGCCCTGAGTCTGGATCGGTACACCTCTTCAGACTTTTGATCATCTTCTGACCTTCTATGTATTGCATGAATAACCTTTACTTGGCTTCCCTCCACCTTCCGAGGGTTGACCTCCTGAGGCCTCACTTACTCTTTTAGTGTGAAGTAGTCTGCCAACTCACCTCTGGTTATCATGTTTTCTACTTGACGCCTGAGGGATCTACAGTCATTGGTTGTATGCCTGTAATCCCTGTGGTAGGCATAGTGTTTGCTTTTGTCCCTCTGCTCTAAGGGTTGTCTCATTGACTGAAGGGTTGTGAATCTTACCTTGTTTTCTTGGAATAGCCGAGCTACGGTCATGCGAAGAGGTGTAAACCTCTCCTCTGTCCTTTGCATCTTCTCAGGTAACTGAACGACTGGTGCTGAGGTAGGCTGGCTCCTTTGGCTTTTCGAGCTTGAAGCTTTCTCCCGAGGCTTATTCTCCACTGTGACGAGGGTGGCATGTTGTGTTTGGTGGGACACATTCTCCTCCAATCGAATGTAAACTTATGCCCTGGCATTGAGGGTCTGCAAGTCCAAAGGAGAATATTTGACTAAGGAAGTATGGAACTTAGTTCCTTGGATCATGCCAAGCTTGAATGTTTCTATAGCAGTCGCTGGATGACAATCTGCTATCTTCGAGGCCTCCATATTGAATCTGGACAAGAAATCCTGTAGTGTTTCTCCTCTCTTTTGCCTTATGGTGAAGAGGCTTGAAATGGTCTTCTTTTGCTTCTTGTTTCCGCAAAACTGTGCTAGAAATATGGCGCACAAAGTCTCAAAGTTTGGAATGGACTTGTGCGACCTATTCTTGAACCATTTTAATGCGGGTCCCGTCAGACTACTTAGGAACACCTTACACATGAACATATCATTGTAGTTGTCTAGGGCCATCTTCTGCGAGTAGTGGTCGAGGTGACGAGAGGGATCTCATGTTCTATCAAACTGAATGAAAGAAGGCATAGCAAATTTCTTAGGTCTGTCAACATAGTATATGTCATTAGTGAATGGAGTCTTCACTAGAGAATTCTTGTGCTCTCTAGCCGTCTCGGCAGGCATCTAAATCCTTAGGAGCCTCTTCTCATTAAAGGCCTTCTGGACGTCAGCGCCGTCTGGAATACCATTGGACCATACCGTAAGCTTACAGCTGAACTCGACCTGTTTGTCTTGCATGCGATGAGGATGGTTATCCGAGGCGACCACTTCGGTCCTTGTCCTCTGCTCTTGCGGAACTTCGTTTAGCCAAGCCTCGTTAGCATGAGTTTCGTTAACCGGAGGGATGTTTTGGTTAGGGGGAGGCGTTGTTGCATCACCATGTGGTGGCAGTGGTGCAATCTGGGCCATAGCTACTTGGAGGGCATCGTTCCTCTGCTGCAGTGAAGCAATCTGAGTTGTGCTAGCCTCGTTCGCTTGACGAAGTGTTTTGGAACTCTTCTCGCATCTTTTGCATTAACTCAATCTGTTGATCAACTGCTACTGTGGACCCTCCGATTGACATTCCAGACCGTAGTAACATAAATAATTAAAATCACTTGTGGGAGTATATTTCTATACGTTCCCACAGACGGCGCCAAAGTGTAAGTGCAAAATTTCTCTCTATATCAAAAATAAAAAGAAATTAAACAATTCACTCAAATATAAAATAATAAGTCACAAGAACTATTCAGAGAGATGCGTATATTGCTTGATGCCTTTTATTGGAGACCTGGACCTCTATTTATATACAAAAAGATGGTAGAACTCGCCTTGCTTGCTCTCCAATTAATTCCATATACAATTCCTTACTAAGTAAATTACTTCTTTTTATAGTTATCTCTATATCAGATTTCTTCCTCTTGTAGAACTTTCCTTTTGTGATGAATCCTTTGCTTAGTAGGAAACATTCCTTCTTTAAACGTATGTGGGCCAAATGCAACTTGGTCCAAATGATTTTGTTATTGGGCCGGAGGTTCAACATTAGCGACTTGAGCTGTTGGTGTCTTTATCCGGGCTTGAACAGAGCTAGGCTTTATTTTAACCCATCAAGGGATTAAAAATAAGACTTAAGTTGTGGCTACGTGACTGGCTTTCATTGGAGGGGGATTTTTCCCTCCACAGTAGAAAATTTTAAAATAATTTAATTAATTTATGGATTTTTCATGAATATATTACATGAAAAAGAATATATTTTTTATTTAAGTAATTTATTAATATTTCATCAATTTATTGTAAGAAAAAGAAGTTAGGGAGTATTTTTCTACGGTAAAAAAGTTTAAATTGGGTATAATAAGTTTTATTATAAATAATAAAATTTTAATAATAAGTTAATCATTTTAGGAAATTATAATTACAATTTTTTTAATGATAAATTGATACTAATAATAAATTAAGGTAAATAGTATAATTAAAATTTAGATAAGAGAAAATATAATAAAAATAATTTAATAAGAATTAACAAATTTAACGAGAAAGGGTAAAATAGTCTTTTGCGATGTGTTTGTCCTTAATTGTAACAAATCAATAGTTCAGGGGATAGTTTTTATGTAACGACCCGAACCCGTAGGTCCGAACCGCTAACCGGGTTATGGAGGGAAAAATCCCTCTCAAGTAAGATTCATCCACGTCATCACAATACAAATTTATACTTTTGATATATTGCAAAAACCCAATCCGGGTCGAGCCCAAATAACGGAAGCCCAATCCGGGTCGAGCCCAAATTAAGTCTCCCTTTAGACCAAGATTGCTAGCATTAGCCGTCCAACCCATTAATCAAGCTCAGCTAGCCCAAGATGTATCCGGTCCAAACTATTTGAGAATAAATGACTCCTACTAAGCAAAGGATCCTGCAAGAAAGGAAACTTCTACAAAAGGAAGAATCTAACATGGAGATAACTGTAAAAGGCAGTAACTTAATTAGTAAGGAATTGTATATGGAATTAATTGGAGGACAAGTAAGGCGAGTCGTATCATAATTTCACTACCTTTTTGTATATAAATAGAGGCCTAGACCTCCAATAAAGATGATCAAGTAATATACGCTTTTCTCTAAGCAATTCTGGTTACTTATTATTTTATCTTGAGTGAGTTGTATTATTTCTTTTAATTTATTTTAAAGAGAGAAATTTTGCACCTACACTTTGGCGCCGTCTATGGGAAGCGTATAGAAATATACTCCCACAAGTGATTCAAATCATTTATATTACTACGATCTGGAATGTCAATCGGAGGATCCGTAGCAGCAGCTGATCAACAGATGGAGTTAATGCAAAAGATGCGAGAAGATTTCTTGCACCAATTCGAAACGCTTCGTCAAGCGAACGAGGCCAACACGGCCCAGATTGCGCTGCTTCAACAGAGGAACGATGCCCTCCAAGCAGTTATGGCCCAAATAACACCGTAGCCACCACCAGGTGATGCGGCAACACCTCCCCTCAACCAAAACATTCCTTCGGTTAACGAATCTCAAGCCAATGAGGTTCGGCCTAATAAAGTTCAGCAAGAGCAGAGGACAAGTACCGAAGCGATCGCTTAAAGCAATCATCCTCATCACACGCAGGACGAACAAGCCGAGTCCAGCCATAAGCTTACGATATGGTCTAATAGCATTCCGGATGGTACTGGCATCCATGAGGCCTTTGATGAGAAGAGGCTCCTGAAGATCCAGACGCCCGCCGAGATGGCCAGGGAGCATAAGAACTCTCTAATGAAGACTCCATTCACCGATGATATATACCTTGTTGACAGACCTAAAAAAATTCACTATGCCTTCTTTCACTCAGTTTGATGGCACAGGAGATCCTTCCCGTCATCTCGATAATTACTCATAGAAGATGGCTTTAGATAATCACAACGATGTGTTAATGTGTAAAGTCTTCCCAACTAGTTTAACGGGAGCTGCATTGGAATGGTTTAAGAATAGGCTGCACAAGTCCATTCCGAACTACGAAACTCTGTGCGCCATGTTCCTAGCTCAATATTGCGAAAACAAGAAGCAGAAGAAGACCATCGTTAGTCTCTTCACTATAAGACAGAGAAGAAGAGAATCGTTACAAGATTTCCTGTCCAGGTTTAACATGGAGGCCTCGGAGATAGTAGATTGTAATCCAGAGACTGCTATAGAAATATTCAAGATCGACATGATCCAGGGAACCAAGTTCCATACCTCCTTAGTCAAATATTCCCCTCAGATATGCAAACTCTCAATGCTAGGGCACAGATCTACATTCGACTTAAGGAGAATGTAGCCCATCGAGCATAGCATGCCACCCTCGTCACAGTAGAAAATGAAGTATTTTATAAAAAGTCAATAAAATAAATCTTTTTTTTTTCTTTTTCTTTTTTTACCTGGCAATGGTTAGTGGGGTTAGGAGTTAGTAGGACGGATTACTCGAACACTGGCACTCACACCAACCCCCTAAGGCTCACCTACCACCTGGGCTACAAGGCACATCCCATAGTACAAGTCTGCTATTTATCTTTTAATATAAAAAGTACAACTTGAAGTACAATATGATGATATATATATATGATATATATTTGCTAAGAAGTACAACATGAGATTACTTTCATGAGTCAACTACTCGGTGCCTAAAGTAAAGTACTTCAAATCAAATACGTAGTATTGATTAGTCCGAAATTTTTAAATTCAATAGGTATGGGTATGAAATAAAAGGGTAAAGTGTAAAAATACCTGGTCTTTGTTTGAATTTGTAAATAATTCCTCCTAAATTATATTTTGTGTATAATACTCTCTAACAAATGTTTCAAAACTTTGATTATATTTTATTAAATGATCATAATGTTATTTCTTATTTAATTACACTTAATATATTTTTTAATTAAAATAAATTATGAAAAAAATTTCATACTAATTTGATGGCATATTCTCCATTAAATTAGCAAAAAATTACTTTCAATTTTTTAAATTAATTATTAAATAAAAATCTTCAGTAGAAAATTTTAAAATAATTTAATTAATTTCTTGATTTTTCATGAATATATTACATGAAAAGGAATGTATTTTTTATTTAAGTAATTTATTAATTTTTCATCAATATAATGTAAGAAAATGAAGGTACGGAGTATTTTTCCACAGTAAAAAAAGTTTAAATTGGGTATAATAAGCTTTATTATGAATAATAAAATTTTAATAATAAGTTAACCATTATAGAAAATTGTAATTACAATTTTTTTTTTAATGATAAATTGATACTAATAATAAATCCAGATAAATAGTATAATTAATATTTAGATAAGAGAAAAGAGAATAAAAATAATTTAATAAGAAATAACAAATTTAACGAGAAAGGGTAAAATAGTCTTTTGTAATACATTTGACCTTAATTGTAACAAATCAATAGTTTAGTGTGATAGTTTTTAGTTCAAGGAACTTTGTTACACTTTATCCGAAATAAAATGAGAATAACTATAGTAGAAGACATCAATATTTGAAGTTATTAAGTTATATGAGGATTTTGGATTCTATAATTGTAAGTTTTGTTACATTTGTTTCTCTTTAAAGCACACAAATTTAATATTTTCTATGTTAAAAAATTTGATTTTAAAACACACAAAGCAATCAAATAAGCTAAATAAGTATCACTTAATTCAAGATAAAATCACAAATTAAAATTCGGGAAGTAAAATATTTTTTAATATTAATTAGTTCAAAAGTTAAAAATTCAATGGGTATGAGAACGAAATAAAATGAGAATAACTAAAGTTGTCTCGGCACTAATTATTTTTGTGGCTTTTCACCTGGACTTCAATCAGGCATGAAGGACAACTAATAAAGATGATTGTTCAAACAGTGTTGATGGAGTTGAAGAGGAACGACATGGTTCTATTTAACAACTTGGTTGGAATCGATGAGCATATAAATAATATAATGAGATTATTGGAGGTTGGTTCAAGTGAAAAACGGATTGTTGGTATTCATGGCATAGGCGGTATTGGAAAGACAACAATCGCGAAATGCATCTACAACAAGCTACTCAAGGAATTTGAATGTGGTAGCTTCCTTGCAGATATTTCAGAAACGGCTAAACCACACAAAGGAATTGTTACTTTGCAAAAACAGCTTCTTGCAGACACTCTTAAATGGTACCCAGACATTGCTGATGCTAATAGCGGAATCAATGCTATTCAAAACCGATTTCTTCGAACAAAAGTTCTCATTGTGCTTGATGATTTGAATGAAAAGTCTGAATTTGATTGGCTTGTGAGAAACCTTGATTGGTTCGGTCCAGGAACTAGGATCATAGTTACAACTAGAGACAAGAAAGTCCTAATTGATCTGGGAGCTAAGTCTTATGAACCCCCAGATATGAACCTTGTGCAATCTGTTGAACTTTTTAGCTTTCATGCTTTCAGAATGAAGTTTCCTCCAATAGGCTATGAGAAGATCTCTAATGATATTGCATCGACTACAGGAGGGCTTCCTCAAGCTCTGGAGGTTATAGGTTCATTTTTGTTTGGCAAGAACGACAAACAAATATGGGAAGATACATTGGCGAAGTTGAGGATAATGCCAGACGATAAAGTCCAAAAAGCGTTAAGAATAAGTTATGATGGGTTGAATGGTGAACAACGAAACATATTTCTTGATATTGCATGTCTTTTTATTGGAATGGATAAAACATATCCATTTTACATGTGGGATGATTGTGGCTATTTCCCAAAGAGGGAAATTGATGTTCTCCGTCTCTTGTCTCTGGTAAAAATAGAAAGTGATAACTTGTTGAGGATGCATGATCAGCTTAGAGATTTTGGTAGAGAAATGGTCCGTCAAGAAGATGACATAAATCCAGGAGGACGTAGCAGGTTATGGAATCAAGCCGAAGCAAAAGATGTATTTGAGGAAAATACGGTAACATATGAGTGTCAACTTATTTAATTAATCAATGTTTATTTCTTGATCCTCTTTCATGTCATGTCATTACACGGGTAAGCACACAATGATAACACATCCACAAATGTACGTGGTTTTCATGGTAGCGTCCACTTGATTCCGAATGGAGAGCTACCTTGTTGATCAACTTACTTTGAGGGGTCTACACAATTGAAGTTGAATGTTTATTACTATCTCCGTCCCTTATTAGTTATCCATCTTTGGTTTTATAACTTTTTAAGGGGACATTCAATTAATGCATTGTCCCTTTTTAAAATTCTCAAATTGTCCTTTTAAATTTAAATATATATAGTTACAAAGTTTGAAATTTTTTAAAAAGATAAAGGACAATGATGAAAATATAAAGAAAAGATACTTTGACTTTTCAAAGAGGACAACTAATTTAGGACATGTAAGAAGAGAAAAATGGACTACTAATATGGGATGGAGGGAGTATGTGATACCCCTCGGATCCGAGACACGGGTTGATCAGGCCCAGGCCCAAACCCGAGGGAAAATCAAACAATTAATATGTTATAGCGAACATGGAATACAAAATGAATTAAGAAATGAAAGTTTAAAGCTGAAAAGAAACTAAAAGATAATCCTTAAATAATTAAATACTTAAATTTGATAAACCAAATATCCATAATTTGAACAACTCGGGAATCCATCTCTAGTGGACCCCTAATAAAAGTCTCACACTAAATGAAAGTAAAATAAAAGATAAAACCCAAATCCAAGATCTGGAAAGAAACCCTACATCTTCGGTAGAATGGAAGATCGTCTCTGCTCAGCACGAACAAGCTCAAGCCTGGAACTGACGTACACCTGAAAAATAGGAGTGGGTCAGGCCCACGAACAAGTTCTAACCTACTACAATCCAAGCAGAGACTCGATACGCATGTACATACTAAATAGTTCAACAATAACTAATAATCCGTACATAAATATATCCACACTACTGGACTCTCGCTAGGCCATGAAGGGGGTCTCAACCTGGATAGAAGGCATCACACAATACGCACCTGAGTGGGTATGAGTACCTAAACCTAAACAGGGTATACCTCAACCTTCACAGTCAGCTACACATCCAACTGCATATACGCACCCTAACCGTCGACACTGAGACTCAAGCTCATGACACGGTAACATAAAAATATATCTAAACTCCGTTTCTATCCATCCACCAGAAATCCAGTAAGTCACTCGGCGTATTCAACCGTACCGACTTATATATATAAGGAGGATTGTATTTTATAACCTGTGCCCTTACTCCAAAATAGGTAGGACTTAGCAATTTGAGCTAATCCAAACCCAGTATGTCACCGTCCCATACCGGTACATACAATCCAATCCGTCCGATAGTTGATAAATCATCGATAATTATAACAACAATATCAACAATTCCATACTAAACATAATAGAATGCATTAGCAACCATTCTTAAAAATACCAATAATTGATTCACATTGAAAATATAAATATCAATGTCAACTACTCCTTACTATGCATATTGAAATAGAAAATTAACATGCTTATTTACATTTACAGTTGACAAAATAATGACCATATAAATGTCAATACCAACAGTTCCAACCTAAACATGTTAGAACAGATTAACAAACATGCTTAAGTAAGCCAATTCAGAATCCATAATTTGATCATACAGGGCTTTATTTAGAATGATGACCTATTCCCAGTTTCCATAGAATTAACAGAGCCTAAATAGATATTTTCCCACTCAAATCTATAGCATGCAAAATAAATATAAGTAATCTATTATACTTATAGTTTCCTGTCCAACAACTTGACGCACTAACCGTTAAATTTAATCATCACCTAATTTTCAGTGAAATATAAATTTTTAGCATAATTTCTAATTCCATGAACATATAATTCGAGTGGACAAGCTCTCACAGAAAATTTCTAATATAATTAAGAAATTTGAAACTCCAAATCTTCACAGTCTACAAGACCTTCGTAATTAACTCCATGTAATCCTAATGATTAACGCTTTGTGTCCAATTTTATGTTAATCTGGTCTTTGCATATTTATGTTTACCCTAAACCACTCCTAAATCACCCATTACAGTATTCATTCACCAATAAACACATTAAAACAATCACTAGGAAGCCTAATCACTGAAAAAAAATTTGGAAAAACAACCCACAGAATCAAAACTCACGCATAAACAACCTGGAGCCGGCTCCAGAATATTGGAGCCGCCTCAAATGGCCCTGGAGCCGGCTCCTAGACCATTGGAGCCGCCTCCAGTCCAAGGGGAGCCGGCTCCAATCCAATAGGAGCCGGCTCTCTCCCTCCTCTTCTTCGTGTTCTCCTCTCCGGTCGCCGTTTACGCCTCCGACACTTCACAGTAGAGGGTTTCAGAGAGTTTCAATTAATCCTAGAAGATTCCAGTCCTTAACTCAGTCCTTATTATGCTACTAATATGGATTAAACCAAGAATTAAATAAGACAGTTCAAAGTTTAACAGTTTACAAGTTTTAAACCAAAATCAGTTTCAGTTACACTCTAGGCATGACACAGACAACGTCTTTTATTTTTAAACATGTAATTCATCCTGGAACCATTGAGTATGCAAAGAACACGAGTATAAGGGAGAGAGTAAGGTTAGAACTTGCCTTTTGAGATTTTTGTTAAAATCTCTACGTTGTCTTCTACAATCTCCGGCGACTCCTACTGCAACTTCCTCTATTCCTCGTTTCTAATTCCACAGACGTGTTTTGGTTGTATTATTTTGTTCCCCAAACAGACTTATCTTATATATTTATAGGCAACCAAAACCCTAAGTCCAATTATACCTAAAGTCTGAAACGAGGCCCATAAACACAACCTAGGTTATAAACCCTGTCGGCTCCTTAAATAAACCTAAACCTAAACAGAACTAAAACCCTAACCACACTTTTATACCTAGTCACAAATTAAAACATGTAATTACTAAGTCAACAATAAAAATTCCAAGTTACTAATTCAATTAAAGAAACAATAAAAAAATTACAAGTTAACCATAAAACAGAAAATAACATACAATTTACCGAGAATTAAAGCCAAATAAATAATTAAAACAATTAACTTAAATAATCACAATAATTCAAATAATTAATTAAACCAAAGAAAACAAATAAACTAACTAATTAATTCAAATAACACAAATAAGTCAAGTAAATCAAATCATTAAAAAGTCAATTAAAACATATGAAAACATAAGTCAAAACAATTAATGAATAAAAACCAATTAATGAACAGAAAACAATTAAACAAAATACCGAGACTATCCTTTTGAAAATTAGGGGTATTACAGTACATAATTCTTGATCCTCATTCACGGGGACGACTCTAGAAAAAAAAATATGAGGGAGTGCAATTGTGAAAATGTTTAGAAATTTCAGTGGGGCAATAGTAATTTTTTATAGTTATATATATATATCAAAATGAGAAAAATAGCAAGGCATAATGGTAATAAAAAATGAGCCACTCTTAGGTCCGTGCATGTCATTCATGTTCATAATGTTATAAATTAGAATGTTATTCATCATTTTTTAATTATTTCAAGTATAGTTGGTTTATAATTTTATTTTTTTATATATAGACATATATTTTTTTTCAAGAGAGGAAATATACCATGGCTGATCAACCCTACAGGAGTTTAATCCAACCTGGCTACCTTTTTTTTTCATAGTTGGTACTCACACACACATGCCTTCACTGAAACTCGAACCTCTAACCTCTCTTTGAGAAGTAGAAGCTTGGTACCGCTAGGCCACTGGCCTGTTGGTCCAACCCAGCCACCTTAATCTAACATAAAGATAATTTGAGCTCAAAATGATAAACATTGCCTAACTAAGAGATCTCAATCTAACATAAAGATAATAGGTGGTTGATAATGTATTGAGAATGCATGATCAATTAAGATATCTTGGTAAAGAAATCGTCCGTCAAGAAGATTTTGAGAATCCAAAATTGCGCAGCAAGTTGTGAGATCGACAAGAACTCTCGTATGTGTTTGAGGAATGCATGGTAAAAATTTACAACATTAATTTTTTTGCATTGATTAATGTTTTCTTAAGTCTCTTTCATGTCATCTCATCATACACACGCTCAAAATAATATTCATAGTAGCATCCACATAGGTTCCAATTAGGGAGCTAAGTTGTTGACCAACCTAAATTTGCCCGCATCATCTATGATGGGATTGGACAACTGTCAGCTCGGATTTAACTCAATTTAAGTTATTTAGAGTTGTGAGGTGAGTATTTACCTAATAAATAAATAAATCAATCAAAAATTTTAACTCATCTCATTAAGAAAAGAATTTTAGATGTTCTTGTTACTAGTACACCTAGTTACAACGGAAAGTAGGCATGTTGTACGTATAGATTGGTGTAGCATTTGTAATTAAGTTGTAGGTGTTAGGGAAAATTAACTTTCTCCAACCCACTCAACGATCAACTGTTGTTGAGAGTTAAATCCTTCATTCATCACACACAGTAGAACCATCATCACATCACATCAACACAAGCATATATGGAGATAACAATCACATCAACACAAGCATATATGGAGATAACAATCATACGCATTAACACACAACACAATATTTTATATGGTTCACCTAACTTTAGGGTTACGTCCATGGGAGAGAGAGATTTCAATATTATGCATCAAGAAAAAAATTATACAACCACATTTCAAAACCCCACTCACTCACTTATCATCTCTTATGAGACTACATGTATAGGAATTACATATACTCTCCCCTCTCTCACAACGCTCGTCCTTAAACTCCTTACATCTTTTCCCTCTTCTCTCTCTCTCTAAACCTTTCACATCCATCTCTATTTATAGAATTTTCAAAACCCACTTCCTGGTTGGACAAGTATTCCTCAACTTGCCCATAATGAGTTAACATAATGATCAAAACTCTGAAATAGAAACATAATGGGATACAATTTCCTCAACAAATTTCAACCTTCCAAAATGAAAAAGGAAACTAATTTTGTGCACACAAATTTTGAGCCACAAACCCAACAATCTCCACCTTGGCTCAAAATTCTATCTTCACATGTGTCTCCATAACCCCACCTCAAACAAGAATCTCTTCATACCTCCACCTCAACTGAAGATTTCTCTACCTCAAATAAAGAACTATGATGAACTTGAAAAACACTTTAACAGTAGGCTACAATGTTATGCATGATCTTTCAATTGTTTCAAGTTATTTAGAGTTGTTATAAATGTAAAAAGAATAAAAATAAAAAATGAAGAAGTATAAAGAAAAAGAAAAAAGGAGTTGTGAATGTTTGAATCAACCAACCTGAATCTAACCCAACCTTAACTGAAAAAGATGACCTTTATATATATATATATATATATATATTTTTTTTTTTTTTTTTTTTTTTTTGTGTTGTTGGAGATAAAAATTAATAACTAAACTTTAGTTGCTTCATTTTTAATTTTAATTTTTTTTTATATATATAAAAGCAAAAATGTAAACATCAATAACTGTTATTTTGTGAAGTCATTAAAAATGGGTATTTTTATAAAAAAAAATAAGAATAATAATTGATATCTAATATTAATAATTCCTTTTTTAGCACATGGCTAGCAAATCGTTTCTTTTATTTGTTTATTTATTTTTATGGTTTTTTCATTGAAAGGTAACTGAAAAGGTCCAACTCCTAAATCTTGATGTTGCGACGTGTGAGCATGACAAATTCCCGGAACAATCTAAACTGCGGCATCTCCAAATAGATGGAGCACAACTTCTTGTTGGGGATTTCAAGTATCGCTTGTTAAACTTAAGATGGCTTAGTTGGCGATGTTCCCCTCTGCATTTTGAAGCAACCAATTTTCATATGAAGAAACTAGTCATACTTGATCTAAGCCATAGTATGATCCCAGAGAACTGGAAGGGTTGGAGTCAAATTATGGTATATACTACATACATTTTAAAATCTTTACTCTCATAATCTCAATTCATTTCTCGTCTCCCATAACATACATACATACATATTGGAGCATATGTATGATTGTTTCTATATTTTTGTGTATCTTGTAAACAGATTGCAAGTAACTTAAAAGTGCTTGACATTTCATTCACTGTAATAGAGGAGCTACCTGATGAAATTAGGACGTTAAAGAAGCTGGAAATTATAGATGCACGTCGTTCTTATTTGGGAGGTAACATTCCAAGTTGCACTGGGAGATTATCATGTTTGAGATACTTACGCAGCTTTTATTCTACAGGAATTCGAAGCCTACCAACAAGCATTCGTACCCTTCACTTAGAAGACTGCTATTATGTCAAAGCACTGCCAGAGCTTCCCTCAAGTCTACAATTTCTGTATGTGGATTTGCGGAGTTTGCATGTTACCCCTAATCTTGCAAATCTGGTTAATCTGCAAGTCCTGTGGTGTAATAAGATTCTTGACAACATGAATCAGATTTTCAGTGATATTGTTAAATTATCCAAATTGCAGAGGTTGGACGTTGAATGTAGCGACATTATGACCCTACCGAAAGAGATTGATGCCCTTTCTGAACTCAAATTCCTCAATCTAAAATCATTCAGTAAACTTCAATGTATATTGGGTTTACCTACCAATCTGGTTGGATTATATATTGTTGGTGGTCCGTCATTGGAAATACTACCAGATCTGTCAAATTTGAAGCTCTTGTCGGAATTGCAACTTTATGAGTGCTATAAGCTGACAAAGATTCAAGGGCTTGGGAAACTACAATCATTGACGAGTTTGAGAATAGAATATTGCATTAAACTGACAAAGATTGAAGGACTTGGAAATCTAGAATTGCTAGAAAGTTTGAGAATAGAAAAATGCATTAAGCTGACAGAGATTCAAGGACTTGGAAATCTAGTATCACTGGCAAGTTTTTGTATGCGTTGGTGCCTTGATATAGCTGAACTTAATCTGCTCGAATGTTCGGCACCTCTAGCATCCTCTGAGATGAGTGGGTACAAATACCCTGAAAATAAACCAGATCGGTCCAACTTAAACAAGTTAAAAAAAATTGAAGTTGTTGGTTGCAACAATCTCAATAAGATCGAAGGACTACATATATTGGTATCATTGGAATATTTGAATTTGTCGTATTGCTCATCCATGGTAAGAATGCCGAATCTATCAAACTTGAAAATGTTGAGACACTTGCTGCTCCGTCAATGCACGAACTTAAGTGAGATTGAGGGCCTTGAGGCTTTGGAAGCCTTGGAGGAACTGGACATCAGGGGGTGCTCATCGCTGGAAAAAGTACCGCATCTGCCACACACGCATATTCAGACGATTTCTGTTAATTATGATGAAGATTTTTATCATTATGCTGAACATTTTGATCATTTTGAAGAAGATTCTGATGATTATGACGAAGATTTCCATTGAGCCTGGTTTGGTTCCCCTTCTTGTTCTACAGATTGTATGCAGTACCATGTTTTTCCAGTGCTCAGATTATTCCATCATTGTGGCTTTCCTTGATTACTTGCTCATTATCTTTTCTTTTTATTTATCAATTCAGGTTCATATTGGAAACTAGGTGGAATAATCAAACATCGGTGAAGAGCATAGTATCGATCAAAAGAATACTAAATGGTAAATGCTCTCTCATGAGCGAACAATCAATAATATTAGGCCTCTGGAAGATCCCCAAAAGGAACAGCCATGAGGTCCGGAAACAATACATAGAGGTGAGTAAATGACAATATGTATATTATTCTAGCTGGGCTATTGTGAGCTGCTTGTATATAATGGATCTGCTTCCATACCTATATAGAGGTGATAAAGGTGAGCTTCTTTCTTGTATTGCAGATCAGAAATTAACGGAGTCGGAAGCAGGTTTAATTACTAATTTGGACTCTTCATCCATGTTCCTTTTTTGCTCAACTCAAATCTAATTTGTAACTTCGCTTTTGTCATATCTCCAGACAAGTGAGGAAGTACAAAAAGAGCTATAAGGTGAATCCACAAGCATTATGAAAGAAATGGTAGCTTACATTATGGAAACAGGGATGGCTACAAGTTTGTCAAAAGGGTTGTGAAGAATAATTTTTAGATGTTTGCGATCAGTTGTACAAAAAAAATTTTAAAAAAATAACTATTGTAGTTAGACACAGGTTTAATGCATCACTTTTTGATTAATTAAATTCATACATTTGCCTCATGTTTATTCCATTCATTAAAGCAAAAGGACAAGTTTATTATGATATAGTCAGATCTGCTAAGTTTGTGAAGAGTATATATTCAATCCAAAACCTCGTATCAGAAAATCTAATCTTGCCATGCACATGGTTTTTTAGCTCATTCATTCACTCTATATCTATCTTGTATTTAAAGAGCCTAACGTAAAGTCTTCTTTCAACGACGATGTATTACACAAGACATCAACATGTATGATTGGGTCATTGACATTAATACTTCATGCGATACATCCACTGACCCTAAACTACCACCAATAACTTAACTTTCAACTCAAAAAAAAAAAAAAAAATTGACTAATTAGCCAAACCAATCCCCTAATTAGCCTACTCAAGCGTCAGCTATCTATAAAAATACAAATATGTTGAATGAATCTCCTGCCACAACCCAGCATTCAGCGTCGTTAGCTTATGAATCTTGAAACGCACATGAAACAGACACAAGGGATTATTTGATATCATTGCTCCAGTTTCCCGCCAATAAGGGCAACATTTTTTTATACACACCCTTGATCGATCACTCATCGCTTGAGCAATAGTCAGAAAAGCAGAGCTCATTGCTCCATGTACCAAAACCCTGCCAAAGGAAAAAAAATGGAAAGAAAAAGACGGAAAAAGAAAACAAAAAAGAAAACAAAAATTAAAGAAATAGGGATAATTAAGAATTCAGATGCAACTTTAATGTCATTTTCTACAACTTTTTACATGCTAATATTAGATATGTAAAGCCACTTGTCTAAATGCTCACTATAAGAGAACAACAGGCTTCATGTTTACATTCACAAGTTTTCAAACAAAAAAAACCGCACACCACTCGGTAAAAATTTGATGATCAAATACACCCTCCACAAGGTGAATGTATCCCCAGTATCTTCACCTCCATGTGAGACATGCTTTCTCGCAAAAGCACAAATTCTATTTACAGGCGTCATGTTTAAATCCATAAGTTCCCTAAAAATGAAAATTTTATAGAACTGGCCAACTATTTCACATGTAGTGAAATTTTTGGCGTTAAAAAAGAAACAAAAACAATGCATTCATATACTTGAAATGAGAATGTTTAAGAAGAAACAAGAACAATGCATTCATATACCTAAAATGAGAATGTTAAGATAGATGATAGGAGTGACGAGAAAAGATAGAATTAATAATCATGTGAGAGTAGTAGAAGAAGAAGTGACACCTATTATTGATAATGTAGACTTAGGTGGTATGGCTATATACAACAGAGACCTATGGAGTAGATTTGTTTGCATAGAAAGTAAGAGACGAGGGCAACCAAAACTCACCACGTGGGATGAAGTAATTAGAAATGCTCTTAAAAAAATAAAATAAAATAGGGAGACAACTTGTAATAGAAAAGAATGCAGAAAGAGAATTCATATGGCCAACCCCGTTTATATGGGATAAAGGCAATAATGATGATGATGATGTTGATGAGATTTCGTTTATAAAGGCAAAGATAATGATGTTAAGCATTAAATTAGGATTCGGCAACAATGAATACAAATGATAGCCAAGACATGAACTTTGGTTGCCTTACAAAGAAAAAGACATGCCAGTTAGTTTTACCAAATATATCTAGGATATGCATAATGATATAAGAACTAGAGTTTGTGCGTATGGAGTAGAGGGACAAGAGTTCATATTACATGAGAAGAAACTAATGGTTGTTCAATAAATACTACGCCCCCAAATCTGTCCGCAATCATTCTATTTGAAATAACGAAAGATGGACATTTCATGATGCACGTTATTTGCTAGTGACATAATTCAATAGACACTCAGGGAAACCCATGAAAACTTGGATAAATACGAGACAACATAAAATAAGTTTCAATATCTAGGATCATATGTATAGAAAAGGCAAGAAGATATATGACCATATAACAAGTAGGATTGAAACAGGTAAATTTATGGAAGAAAACAAAAAATCAAATAGGTTAAAAGGAAATTCTAGAAGACAGCGATTAAGTCAGTTATTTCAAACAGAGCAGAAAGTAGGAACATTAAAAAAGAAAAAAGAACAACACATCTATATCTCTAAAAGAAAACGATAAGATGGATGAAAAGAATAGCTAGAATAGACAGTATTAACAATCAACATCTATGAGAAATATTAGGAGTAACACCCATTAATGATAGAAAGTATGCTTATGTTTAATAGATATATACAACATAGATTAGTGGATGCATATAAGAAAAGAAACACTAGTAAAATAAGATGCATTAATAAGAAAAGAAATACTATTAAAATAAGAGCAAGAAAGAACAAAGAGACGCAAACTATATTGAGATAAAGTATAAGAAAATACCTTAGGGTCCGTTTGGTTAGATAGAAATTGATAGTAGAAAGTGAAAGTGAATGAAAAGAAAACCAATTTTCTAGCATGCTTTGGTGGGCATTCAAAATTTTCAAGTTATGATATGGTTTGGATAGCATCAAAGTTAAAAGGAATTAATTATTATGCTTTACCTAAATTGCCCTTATTTTTATATAATAATAAATAAAAAATGATAAAAGGTCTAAATAAACCTTTACTGGAATAATATTTTTGGTCATTTTTAAAGATTAAAAGCAATATAAGAATCTTAATAATTAATTTTGAATAAACATTTAGAGAGAGGTACAGTCTTACAGACCATTATATTATACTTAGTAAACATTTAGAGAGAGACACAGACCTTATATTATACTTATAAGAAGTTATGCATAAACACACTTTATTTAGAAAGATTTTTAAAAGGGCATAATTGTAGGTCCACTTAATTTTCTCCAGAAAGCAAAATTTTCTTGTGCTTTCTGGAGGAAAAAATTTATGGGAGAATTAGATGGTTATGGAAAGTTAGTTTCCTCAAAATTTTCCTTTTGTTGCTATCCAAACTCTTAAATGTTAGAAAGTTTTCCATGTATTTTCTTTCCCGGTCTTCTATCAAACCAAACGAAGCCTTAAGAAATTAGATCTGAAAGAGAGATAGATTGTAATAGAAAAGACTGGAAGAAAATAATTCATGTTACCAACCCCGTCTTTATTGGAAAGGCTAGGATTATGATGAGTTTTTTCATTTTAAGAAATCAATATTAATTATTTTGGGCTGAAAAGTCATAGTTTTAAATAGGATGAAATGTCAAATTGTTGTGATAATAAATGAAATTTTTTTTTTGATGTGTGATAATAAATTAAATTAAAAATAAAATGGGAAGTATATCCAAATTGAACAACGACAGACATCTATACAAAATAATTGTTTGAGTTAGAAAAGACCGCCAAAAGGGATGGATATGGTGCACGATGCGGATGGAATTTAATGGCACAATATTTTGGGAGGCTAATTGAATTTTGTAAAATTTTAATATGCAATAACCATTGGGGAATAAGGCAACCTTTACAGATGGACCTGTAATCTGCGCCTGATGCACACAGACAGAGACAAAGGGGTGGCTCATATAAGTACTTACTCGGGACTCTCTTTCTGATAACCAAAATCAGCTGCTGCTTTGAAACCTCTCTGATACGTCTGCTTCACTAATTCCTGCAAGGAAAAACGAAAAGTGAAGATGTAGCATCGCACCAACACAGATTTCGGTACAAATAATATGAAATAAGAACTATGAATTTTTCAAAAAGAAGTGACTAACTGAATTCAGAACCTAAAAAATTTGAGATGATTTCAAAAGCATACAGCATAGCTTTAACAGGGATATGACTACTGGAAGGTACTACTGCATCCCTCCAAACTAAATTGCATCATCTATTATACGTGTGCGTTTGTGTCCAAATATTTAGTGTGCATGCATGAGAAGATTTTCCAGTCAGCTGCCATTTGATAATTTAAGGATCTGCCACTTAGTAGTTTTAACAAAATCCTGCTGCTAAACCAATGAGAATGAAAATAAATATACAGGATCTCACCTGTAATTTAGATTCAAAGTCCTCAGGAGACCACTGCATTGGATTACACTCATGGTTCGGTTCAAGTTCTCCAGCAGCAACCGGCAGCAAAGTTATTACAGATTTAGCACATAAATTAACAGAATAATTGGTAGAAAACCAACGAAAATCCATATCAACGTGGTTAAATCAGGATATAAACGAAACAGAAAAACACAAACTACCTTAGCCATTTACCTCTCCTATAAATATTCTCTCCCCCTCAAGTTTCTAAAATATTCGATACTTTTCCATTTATTACCACTCAATTTGTTCAATTAATTCTATTCTAGGTGCATATAAACAGATTATATAATTGTCCCTAACTCATAACATGATTTTTATTAATACTATCTTGTATCCTATCTTATACAGCTTCCTTCTTTATATTTCATGGAACTTTATCTCAACGAGAATCCGTGTACCACAGTCATCATTTCAAATCTTCATTTTTTAAAGAATTTTTCCCTGCCTAAATAGCAATATCCATGCACTAGGGACGGCTGGGGAAAATGTAACATAATGTGCTATTCAAGAAGAATTGGCACAAAACCAAAAGTTCACAAACAAGTTATTTTTGAAGGTTGCATTATTATATGAAGCAGATGGGCCTTTCTTGTATGTGAGAAAAATTAAAGTGATTCATATATATGCATGGATATTAACAATTATTCCTCCTTGGTTTTGTTCTTGAAAGCTGAAAAGGTATATATCATGCAAGGTCAGAAAAGGTAAACGAAACATCCAACCCCTTCAGCACCAGCAGCCATAGCAGGAGCAATGAGAACATTAGCTTTTCTCAGAACATCAACTGCTTCGGGGTACGGGGCATGTTTGAACCTAAGGGACATATTGTGATATAGTTATTAACAATAAGATGATAACAATAGTAATAATAAAAATGAAAAATAAAAAGAACTAAAAGTATCAAGCATCATATCAAGAACCACTACCTTCTATTAGTATACAACAACCTGAATTAACCAAATTAATGGCATCAGACTGATCAATTTCATTTTGTGAAGCACAAGGAAATGCGACATCACAACTTTCATTCCAAGGTTTTGCTTCATCATAGTACGTCGATCAAGCATAAGTCTTTGAATAATCTCTGCAGATGTCACTTAAATGAATAAGGACATATTAATATTATTACAGGGTGCAATTTGTAATAATGATAAAACAAACAACCTCAAACTTCTTTGTTGAGCTTTAATATCTCTCAAAAATGATATTTTCATATAATAAAATCCATCCTAGTCCACCAAATAACCCTTCGAATCTGTGCAACATTAACAAGCAAAGGCACTCATTTATACAAACCGTTTATAAAATGGTATCGAGTCATTTGTAGGGAGTTGATTAAAAGTGTCATTCCCAAAGTCCCTACAAAACCAGAATTAATGAAACGCCACAAACAGATACAAGATGAGAAAACAATAACTCCTATGAAGGAAGAGCAACAGATCAGATGGCTGTGTTCCACATTTTTCATATTTGTCAAGAGAAAACACCATAAATGACCTAAAAAAGCATTATACTACTAGCCCCTATTACATAGGAAGCAAAACAATTTCCAGTCATTTTAACTCGAACACGTGACATGTTCATATTCTTCCACAAACATACTACTTGAAAACAAAGCTGCCCAAGAGAAGTCACGTCAAATAAACTATAAATATGTCTGATTCAGTTTGCACAAGTTGCTTGAAGTAATCTTCTAACAAGTTTCAACCAACAAAATCTTTAATTCACTTCAGTGAGGGAAACAAATAATGGAACTGGTCAATTGCGTGTTAATCTAATAATTGGCGAACTTATCCCAAAGAATTGAAAATTCTGGATATTACTTCATCAGGCATATAAAACTTACCTGATACCGTGATGGGAACAGCACCGTAAGCGAGAAGCTTCTCAATGACATACATTGCTATCTTTCCAGAACCACTGAATACGCATCTGGAGAAATTCAGAAAAGAAAAGGTAAAATTAACCACTTTTTTCCAATAAGTAAAACAAACTCACAAACCCACATTGCCCCATCTAGGACTTGAACCCTCAATCTCCTCTTTGAATGGTGGAGATACCACTCAAGCTAATGCTTCAAGGCAAAATTAACAACTTTAAAGATAACCTTAGCAGCAACTAAAATTCTATGTATACTACTTATGTAAATGAAGCAGTTAAGAAGTCCCCAAAAAAAAAAATTAGAGTATACTTGCTAACCTCTATGAGGTTTATAACAATGCAAATACACCTCCCTCAAACAATGACCCATTGGTTCATTAATAACTCGTTCACTATTCATTTTTCCCTTAACTATAATACTTGGATCAACCATTATCTAATATATTTGGGTCCTTTCCTCTTACCAATCAAATGTAACAACTCTCATGCAGTCATACCCCCATTCAATTTCCAGTTGCTCTTAGCCATAATTTATGAACAATTCAAACTATACAGGTGATTCCTAACACATTAGCATGATGAAAAGGACAAATGCCAGCCTTCAGATGCATTCATCTTCTAAATCAACAACATTGGGCCAGCAGTTTCCTTTTCTCGTTATTTAATCACCCAAATCAACATTTTCTACACTTTGCTAACATTAGTGAAGGTTCCACCATTATGAAACATCGTAGTGGCTGTTACGCTTCAAAGAGCATAGACCAACTTTATTGAAACACACCTTCTCAGCCACAATCTCAACCAAAATCCACCTCCAAAACCATCACCTCCACTATCCCTCAATCTACGCATTTCCACTATACCGCTAATACTACACACACAACTAAAAAGAATGATGTGAATAAAACCTGGAAATTAACTTGGACAATCTCTTAAATCAAAACCATCCACAACACATAACTATCTCTTGACCTCAATGTCATCCATCTTATCTCACCTCCTAAAATATCTTCAAAATCAGCAACATTTTGTTGATTTGACATTCTATATCTGAATCAAAGTTTTATTTAAGCATAATTTGTGCGTTTGATCAGAATCCAGGTGTTATAGAAGAATACCAACAAAAAGAAATCGACTAATCGAGGGTGATGGCTGGAAGGAGAAATGCAAGCTGCAAAGCCTGGAATGCAAGGAATGAAAACTGTAACCAAAGCAAGGGATAGGGGTGCAGGTGTCATTTGACAATACCTAAAACAGCGCTTCCCCATTACAACCAGATTGCCAGATCAAGATTGGTGCATTTACAAAAAAATGCAGGAAGACAATCGCAATTGTCAAATACATAAGAGGTAAGTGTAGTTTAACCAATATATATATATATATATATATATATATATATATGTGGCAGTACTTAGAAGTTTAAGCAAGCATGTAACTTTCCAAGATTCACACAAATAAGAACCATTATCATGGATCTTTCAGAAGAGTAAAAATAAGAAGATTCTTTTAGTAAAGATAGCAAAAATTATTTAACTAATTGTATTGACTGAACTCTTTAGAAGCTCTCGAAGTTAAGAAAAAGACCTCAATCCTTTGAGTTCTTTATTCATATCTTCAAGTATGTGCTGGGCAAAGAAAACCTGCCAACATAAAGGATAATTGTGAGATCCCGGACATCCAACAAACGTATAAATCAGAAGCAAATAACTAAACCTCAACAAAGCCTTTCCACACACAAAAAGAGCTTAAGAAAAGACTTGGGCCCTAGTGCCTCATGAAGTATCAGGTCTCAAGATCGATTCCTACTAGGTGCAAACAATTCCTTGGAGGGGGAAAATGCAAGATACAGAAATTGCATGGGCATCACTTGTATCATATTTCCAATAAAGTACAAAAATCCACTTTCACATAATACTGGTGTACTCAGCAACTTACTGCAAATACAGTATGTAACCCTAGTAGGACAGCCACAGACAATATGATACAGATATGCCAGCACATCAAATCATAGAAAAGCCAGATACAGAAATTGCAAGCACTGCAACCATATATGGCTTTATCCATATGCAACTATTATATATAAGACAACCATAGAATTTTAACTACTTTCCTAATTCTACATTAAAAGCATAATGTGGAATATGAAGTTATGCATTATTCTAAATATTTTTAGCATATATATAGTCATATACTACAACCTTTTCTGGTAAATAAGCAATTTTTTAATTCCTATTATATTTTTGTCATTACAATTATATTTTTCTTATGTATAAAAAACTGTCGTTTGCATCCTTTCCTTGTGATCAATATCTGAATAATGTCAAATTTTCTTAATGAAAGAAAAGTTAGACAATTTTTCGCTTTCTTTGTATTAGACTTGTGTTAGATACCAACACTTCACAGATAACCATTGATGCATGCTTGGCACCTTTTCAATGTCTCCGTAGTTAAGATGAATTTCATAATTTTGGACACTTGCTCAACACATAACTAAATCACTCCCCAATACATGTAGACAGTCTCATTTTAATAGAAGCCATGCCCGAAAATATTAAAAACAAGATAAACACCCCATTAAGCGTCCATCCTTTCTTTTTATATTATACACATGGTCATCATCCAATGGACCCATTTCTTAATTTTGAAGATATATAGAAAGAATTAAGAGAGTAGTTTTAGGCTTTTAGCTATAATATAAATAATATACTAAAGATTATTATTATCATATTATTATCTTTATGATATTTGTTGAGCTTCATCTTCTATAATATCAATCCTCAATTATCATTTACACAAACCATCTTCAAAATGATTATGATTTTCAACTACAAATATGAAAATGCATCTCATTGCTACATCAATGATAGTCCACATATATTAGCATCCAATGTCCACATTCTTAATGTGTGTTTGCCTCATAAAATAGAGATCAACTATTACAGCGTATATTAAGTATGCCACAATTTCACAGGATAAACATATTGTTTGATGGTCTGGAATGCAAAACAATATCACAAATAAAGAAAATTAAATTGTATACAACTCAACACAAGAAATCCTAACAGAATTCTCAAATCCTAAGAACCCTGCTAACAGAGTAGCAGTTTTTTGGCCATCAGTCTGGTCTAGTCCAGGATCACGAAGATTCCAAAAAAAAAAATTTTTTATTTTTTTGATGAGTACACGAAGATTCCAAAATATTGATTCAAATATACATATCGAACTAGTTCAACTGCTAAATATATATATATGTATGTATGTATATATATATATGTAAATATACAAACCTGACGGGTCGGAAGCATACGTAACCTGTACTTTTCAATGTCTTGTGCCTTAAGGTCCTGCCTGTACATGAGAACCCGGCAGTGATTTACCCTGCCCTGCAGTTCAACAGTTATCTTTCCAACTCTATGAGGATCATATACTTGGAAATCTTTGATATATCATGGAAAGCATAATAAAGTTGGCAACATATAGAAATTGACTTGAAAAAAAAAACATGCAGAAACTGACAATATCATCCAAGGTTCATGAGAAACAGATATTTTGTGCTTCCATACTGAGAAAATTGAAGCTTGACTTAGATAGGTAAGCTCATAGAGACTGCTTTCTATCTGGTCCGATTATTCTATTGTCTTTAAATATTGCACTTAAATAAGAAACCAACAGTTTACTTGGCAAAGTCTTAGATACCTAGGTTCGTGTCTTTTTAGTAGCACAAATATTGTCACATATGCTAGCACCTATCGATTGCCCATTCGAGGAAAAAGAATCCTTAAGTAAGTAGTAGCCAAAAAAAGTCGACATGTCAAATCTAGTTTTATCATAGGATCTTTTTGGTTTTTCAACGCCTTCCAACTTCAGGTTGAAGTGTTCCCGTTATGACCCAAATGAAGTAAGTTTGGCTTGGACTCGGTGCTTTGGCACCTATTAGAAGTGCTAGGTCTGTCAGCCAATCCTAGCCCAAACCAATTTTTAACAAGCTTGGGCATCATTTATGAAATCTGGGGGCAGACTTAAGTTGGAAAAACCCAACCCATATTAGTTCGGATTGGGCTTGGGTTAAAGCATCGGATCACCAAACTTAACATGATTCCCAACCGTAGCCTAATTCAATTATTTATATGTATATGCTAAATACCTGGATGATTATAAATGAAGGAAGATAATAGTTCCCATGAGATTTTATTTATGTCTTAATGTTAGAATTATTATCAACTCACACTATCAAAGTATCAAGGGCAAACAACTCCTAACTTGATCTAAAATCACCTTTTAAATTTGGAAAATTTATGCAACATCACCTAGATAGGCTTTGAGCCCTTAGCACAAACATGTAGCACATGCACATTATTTCCACATATTTTAAAAACGACCAAACCTCAAATTCCAAATCGATAACTGGAATAATTAGCTCACCATTTTTCAAGAAATTACATCAATATATCACAAAAACTGAATATCCTATTACCAACGATGTTGAGATAATCTGTTGCTAAAATTTTCCTCTTTTCTCCAATATTCGAGCTTGGAATTTGTTTGAAGTTCCACTACAAACGTACTCAGTACAATCAGCCACCCCATGACCTGGTTGAGCAAACTCCATCTAGAAAATGGGTAACACTTCGGGTTGGGTTGTGGTTGGAAAAATTGACACAAACCAACTGGCCAATGTAACATCCCCATGGCCCCCACACATAACACATGCTGCAATCAATAGGAACTAGGAAGTTTGTGTCCTCTATATTGTGCTTATAAACCATAAGAATCCTATCAAAAATATTTTTAAACAGACCGTGAATGATGGTCCCTATCCCTATGTAAGGAATTTGTACCATCTTATCCACAAAAAGAAGTCTACCTTATGCGCATAGAGCTGTCTTTCACAGTAGAAAACCTTGTGAACTCCTCGGTTCACCCACCCATTAATTCTATCTTTCTTGAGGACTGGACCTCCTATTGCAATTAAAGGATGAACTCCAAGCCATCCTCTTGGATAGTTTTACAAATTACAGATGGTTGGACAACCGCAAATTTACTAAAAAATATAAATCTGAAACTCGCTGCATGATCGTTGATCTAAGCCTTTACCTCATCATATTTAATGGAATTAAATAGGATCAAACAACTATACATTGACTTTCGAAAAGCATCACAATGTTCCTCTAAAAGCAAACTTCCCCTCCCATGACAAGCCCCTGGTCTTCTTTCAAGAATCACAGCAATCTGTACAACCACGTTTGATACCAATCCCTCGTCTCCATGTAATCCTATTTTGATTTAAATCATCAATGCAAATTCACCAGTAAGCTACTCTTTGACATTAGAGGTTAAAATCCCAAGCCATTCCCTTCCTACCCCACACATATTCTGTCATACAATTAACTAATGCACGAGCATGAACCTCTAGATTGACTTGGACAAGGAAGCTAAAAGCCAAAATCAGTCTTGTCTAGAATTTCCGTCTACAGATTTTAATATTTGAGAAGCCCCAACTGTCAGTAAGGCCAAAAAACCCGACTTTTAAGTCATTCAAAAACAAAAATAGAACTGTTAAAATCACCCAGGATAAACTAAGAGCAAGCTTGCAATAACAAATAAGCCAGTGAAACAATAGTCGCTAGAGTTGACTAACGAGGTTGATTTACACAACTCGTACACCAATTGATTTAATTAATATAGAAATTCTAATCAACATTATTAAATTCATTAAATGTACAAATAGAAGGAAGAGGATTGCATCGGACAAATTCGTTCAATCAAACGTACATTAACCCTCAAAATCATCAATAAGAAGACAGAAAAACAAAAAGTAAACAAAAAGCATATAGTTTCTGGGCCGTGAACGTAAATTGGAAAATACGGGTTAAAATTTAGTTGCTGTGGAAGAAAAAAAATTATCCCATCTGTGTCGATGTTAACACCTAATAAAACGAAGACATAAAGGTCTGCATTATTCAGTAACATTCCGCACTTTTCTTATCTTTCATTTCCGCTTGGTTTCTTCATCGAACAAACAGAATTAATTAATTATACAAATTAGGGTAAGGAACATACATAAATACAAACATATACATACATACATATATATATATATGTGTGTGCATTGATTGAACTAGATAATACCTCAATTTTTCATGATTTTGAGAGAGGAAGCCATTGCAGTAGAAATGGGGGAGTTGTGCAGTGGCAAGCCTCGCTTCTCCGCATTGACGAGCTTACTCAGAGCTTCGTTCAAATTTCTTCCCCCATCTTGTCCCTCCTGTCCTGTCGTTACCCCAAAAAAACGCCCTTGAACCCATCACTTCAGTCCCTCCCGAGCTTCAAAATGTTGTAATAAAACCCTATTTGGACCTCCCGTCTGTTCCCGGGTTGGGCATCCGACCGACTTTGCCACATCATTAATCATTTGATGCTTTAGGACGGCAATTTGTACCAGTCACGTGGCTACTTGGAAAAACCAAACTCTATGATGTGGGCCTGTCGCGGCTGTGGCCTGGTCTCCTTTTTTTCTCTTAAAACATCCACAGATTCATGAGATATGGAAAAATAAATAAACAAAACTAACCGAGGGTCAAAAACAAATGCTTATGTCACGTGATGTGATCACATCGGTATAGTATGATGATCGTCTTCATTTTGCATTGATTAATTTGTTTAAGTTTTGGTTTAACAAATATTTTCTTATTGATATTGTGGAAACTAGTAAAACTATTTTTTTAGATGGGCTATATTGATAAATTAAGAGGAACTAGGAGGAGTTATGTTTACTAATTACATAATAGAATTTATAAGAAATCATATAATTTTACACTATAATATTACATTTATTTTGTAAGTGTTGTGAGCACTTTTATACTGCACAATCAAGTAATAAAGTTAAAAATATATCTCATAATGGTGTAACGTGTTTTTGAACCAATAATTGATATCTCATAACCCAAATTGCACTCCGCAGGACCACCTGAAATTATTAATGCACCCAAGGATAAACAGATTTTCACCGGGAAAATAGAAAAAATAAAAAATAAAACTTTCAGCAGGAAAAAAGAAAAAAATAAATAAAACCAAACATGGGCGGAGTTTTTAATGGTCTAACATGAGCTATAGTATTCTTATCAGTCCAATTCATATGTAATCAATTTTTAGTAATATTCTTTCTTTTCCTTTTAGCCCAATTCAACCCAATCCATAGTACTATGCTTCCTCTTTCTATAAGCTCAATTCATTTGTGATATGTAATTAATTTTTATTGTTCTTCATCCACTTCCTCTCAACATGTGATGGTATTTTCCCTCATAGGGTTTGACTTGTTTGGGGATTTAGCAATGAAATTGCAAAGACTTGAGAAGGGATCCAATTTCTCATCTTTTTGAACAAATATAAATAAAAAATCAATGAAGAAAATACGTAGAAGAAGAAGATAATCATCATTTTTTTTTGTTTATTTTTAAATATATATAACATATCTTTATCATAACAATTATTGTGTTCATCTTCAAATTTTTTTATTATCTTTAGCCCCCTACTTTGCAATTATGACTCCGCCCTAAAAGCAAACCCAACGCACAAGGCTACCTTTCGTTGTAGAATATGAAAGAGTTAATGTACGCAACTCCAAACTGGTGTAAGTAGAAAGCAAATCTAATTTTAAAGTTGCAGGTGGTGAAGTAGTTGCTGTTTTTATTCAAAACATTCAGAGTTCAACTTTATCCCAGGTGGTCTTTTTGCCATGTAGCAAGAGAAGAGAATGGTTTGAGCTCATTAGATTGCTAAAATATCTTTTGCATCTTCATCTCCCGTTCACTTTATTATAATGTGATCATTTTTCTTCTTTTTTTTTTTTTTTAAAAAAAAAAAAAAATCTTGACAAGAAACGTCAACCACGACCTCTTCTGCTTTGGTTAACGTGATGTTTTTATTTTACTAATATTTGCCTTGAAAAAAAAAATATACATATACATATATACACACACACACACACATATGCTGTCATCTTCTATTTTCGTCTTCTGTATATTATTCCAAACAAAAGTTCAGAGAAGGGAAAGAGGAAAAGCGTGCTGTGTTATTGATCTACCAAAAAGCCAAAAGGGGAGAGGGAGAGGAATCATAAAATTTCTAGAATAAATTTTATCGTATATCCTATTTCTATTTTTTTTTAAACTGTACAAATGGTGGCTCTTGGGTGCATCTTGGACCCTTGTCCCAATTAGTTGGATCTAACAGGAGGTGACAAACAATATACTTGACATGATTACATAAAGGGGTAGGAACATTGTGTTAAACTTCGTTCATTTGCAGGGATAACCGCTCAAGAGGGAAAATAATTTTTTTTTTTTTTTAAATTAGAAAAAAGAAAAAAAAAAAAAAAAAGGCATTCTTACAGTGTTGCAGAAGGAGCAACGAAAACAGCCACAAAAATCTACAAAAATTGGGCCATAAAACCGTATGGTACACCGTACACCATACATCATCTTCTGTACATACATCCACTGGAAAAGATCAACCTCAGAATTCACTCTTCTTATCCTTTGATATGCACCGAAAACCCCATCAAGTGAAGTGGCCTTCCCACTTCAATCCCAGGAAGTGTATAACAATGTAAATTGTAAAAGCTTCCTTCATCAGAACATCTCAAAGCTTCTTCCAATTCCGTGTCTCCCTTAAAATGATTTGCGAATTGACTGTCACAGATAAAGACCTATGCTCACATTCACTGGAACACATTCTTGAAGTAAAGAGAAACATAGAGATTTCTTAACAGGCAACCCACGGGTCCACGAGCAGGTAAGGGCATCAATCTCATGTACTATGAAAGAGCAGCGAAATTTTTGATCATCAGCTTCAGGTGCTGCAACAAGATGTTACAATATTACACATATCAGTGGCATATTGATAGAATAGAAAGCAAAGTTTGAATTTGACTGGTTTGGACTAATAACCTTCAATTCTTCATGAAGCACAACGAATATTTTCTTCAGCCGTTTATGTCTCTGCAAGAATGTTAAAGTGAATCAGACTATGAAGTTCAAAAAGAACACATACAAACAACAGAATTTGATGCAATTCTTAAAGTTAACGTTTACCAAATCCTAGAAAGAATAATTTGGATTTAACAGAATTTTATTCTCTTAAGAAGCTGTTCTCCATTCCATGAAATAGTGTGAAATATTTTGAGCAAATCATGAGGCATTCCTTGCATTTGATAAAACAAAAAGTCCAAAGATTTCCAAAGTATCAAAGCACTATCCTTATAGTAGATATTTAAATAGAAGTAGAGTTCTTTAATAAAGGACATTAACTTGCTTCCCTCAATTCTCAGGCTCCTCCGCCCAGACATACATACACACACACATATATATTACGACTTCAATAAAAGATTCCCGAAAGCTGCATATAAGCATGGAATTGAAAGTTCAGATTGTCTCAAAAGTCAAACACCATAAGCTCTATTCTCAGAACAAGAGACATTCTTTATACTACAAATTAGAAAATTTGTAGGCTGAGAAATTTAAGCAGTCAAAACTCCGGAAGCTTTTACAGTTCCCATAAGTTACCTGGATTGAAGGCTGAAGAATTTGCAAGCGTCTAGTGTTAAACATAACTGTGCAAGTAATGTGTCACAGGAAGGTACCACCACAGGTTAGAGGATGAGCTTTATTAAGAATGAAGTGAAATCAAAGTATCTTGATGTGGAAATTGTAATTTTTACACCTCCCAATAACTTTGAGGATTGCTTTCCTTATCAATCCATTGATTTGAACATCTAATTAAATTAAGGGTAAATTACACTTACCTCCCCGAGGTTTGGGCAAATCTCACGTGGCTAGAGCGTTTGAGGTTTATTACTCTGACCTCCCTTAAGACAATAAAAAGTCAATTATACCCTTATATGTAATATATTTTTAAAATACAAAATATATTATAAAATTTTAAAAAAATCAATTATTCTATCTCATCTCTCTTATTTCTCTCTCCCCTCTTCACCACCGTTACCCTCTCCTAAAAAAAATCTTTTAAATTAATAAATAAAAAGTAAGTGCAAGGGCAACTTGGTCATTTTATGAAAAAAATTTACAAGTTATGATGAAGAGGGGGGTTGTTGAGCATGCACCCAAATCTCAAAGGAGGTCAAAGCAATAAATCTTAAACACTCTACTTGTGTGACATTTGCCCAAACCTTAAGGGAGGTCAGTGTAATTTACCCTTAAATTAACTCTTAATGTCTTAACTCGGAGATTCAGTTTAGTATTTTATTAAAAGAAATATGATTTTATGGATTACGCACCTAACTACATCCCATCAACTTGATTTTTAGCGTGCACGACAAGTATCATAAACGCATCTAACCCAACAGTTGGCTTAGTAAAATATTTATAAGGAAACAGAGAGAGAGAGCGAGGATAACACCGGGGAGGGTTAAATCTAAGCATACTTACCTCTGCATGCAGAGAGGCAGTTTCCCAATTTGACCCCGTGGGGCCGTGAGGTCACAGCCAAAGTCCGCCATCTGACTTAGTAAAATATAAATCCCACTAAATTACAACTCACTCAACAAATCCATTTTTCCCAACTACTTGGGGTCGGCTACATAAATCTATTCTTCCATTACGCTCAACCTTAGACCATAGCCTCAATCAAACCTCATGTCGCCATATCCTTCCCTACTAACTCTAAACACGTTAACTTTGGTCTTTCATTCCGCTCTATCATCTTGGGTCATAGTCTCAATCAAACCACATGTTACCATATCCTTCCCTACTAACTCTAACCAAGTTAACTTTGGTTTTCCCCTTCCCCTTCCCCTTCCCTGCGGACGATGTCACTCTTTCTAACTAGTGCACTTAGTGATCGTCTTTGCACATGCCCAAACCATCCTAATCGATTTTCTATCCAATTAGTGCTACTTCAACCATCTCACAAATGTGTTCATTTCTAACTCTACCCTTTCTTATCTTGTAGCACATCCATCTCAACATTTACTTTCCCGCACTCACTCTATAATTATGTTGTTTTTTAGCTGCCTAACACTCTGACCCATAAAGAAAAGCTGGCCTAATAATTATTTCATAGAACTTCTTTTTCAATCATAGTGGGATAGGCTGATCATATAATATACTAGATGCACTCCTCCATTTGACCCATCCTCCATAAAGCTACAGGCAGATATAAAAGTAGCTATTCTTAACAAAGATGCAAGTCAATCATGCCTCGTGAAGAATATAATATATTGAAAGAAACAATGGAAAAATTAGTGCTAGATCAAGAAACAAATTTAATTGTCCATAGGCTTGGTCAATTGGTTCAAGTGTTATATGGAGTCTACACATGAAGCCCAACTTTAACAGAAACAAAAACAGAACTTACTGTTCCACACTGACGATAGGATTCCTTTAACTGCTCCAACATGTTATAATACCTCTCCATATCCTTTCCTTTGGCACTTTCAAGGTCCCTTCCTAGTTTCTGGAACTCAGTCCTGCACATAAAGAAACCAAACTGTTTTAAGTAACACAAAATTTACACCAAAAAACCCATTTCAACATTTTATCAGACAATTAATGATAGCACGGAAAGCACAAAACCTCAGGCACGAACAAATAAAATTTTAATACCTGTAGGACTCTAAAATCTTGTTCAATGAGCAGTAGCTATCATACTTCTCACGATACTCCTGCACATATTCTTTATACCTATATATGCATAAAGTAACAAACAACAGATAATATATGAGTGGATGTAACATATCAAATGATTTTATAACACTAGCATATAAAAGAGGGAAAAGAAAATGAGAAAAATTAATAAATTAAGGCATCAGTGTGACTACTTACTGAGATAAATCCTTTATTGGTCCTTTGAACTCTGGCTCCTCCTTCTCATACTTGGAATAAGAACAACTATTATCGTCTGAAGAAGATTCCCTCCTCTTTAGACCACCATCATTACTCTCCGTTAAAGAGGCACCCTTTCGTCCATTACTCAAGTCTGCCAATGAATTAGATTTTTTCATTTTACTTCCTTTCTTGGAATGGGGAACTAATCCTCGTTTAGAGTCATGCTGTTGTGGTGCACCACCAAGCGCTTTCTTATTAGTATCTCTAAACCTTTCCGGCACAATATTCTGATTCACTCCAGGTGCATTATGTCTAGTTTTACTACTCTCATCTGCGAATTTGTCAAAGTGGGACACGGTTTCAGCATGATCTACTCTTGAAATGAGTTGTGACGGAGGTTGCACAATTCTATTCTGAGGTCTTGTTAAATCTTCAATGTGATTTTCAGGGGTCTTTTTAGATGATGAGCTGTCCGGATTGCTGGGAACCTCAGCCCTTACATGGCCTGGGGAATGCTTTACAGAATCTATAGATATTTTTCCAGCCGGTTTTCCTTTACTTAAATCGGAGTTCCAGTAATCAGAAGTGCTTGGTTTGTTCTCCAACTGTTTGAAGGAACTTTTTCTTTCAAATTGCTTCTTAACCCCTGCTGTTTCTTCAGGCAACGGCTCACGAAGTTCACCTAACTCTAAGTCTGACAACTCTCTTCTAAGCATGCTGCCTCTCCCATTAATAACAGGGGATCTGTCCACATCGGATCTGTTATCAATAGTATGTGAGTTTGAAACCTGTCCAACCTCCTTAAATTTACCAACCACTTCATATTTTGCATAACGGGAGTCAGCTGGTGCCAAGTGCTTGTCTCCAACACCATCTGCCTTTGAACCTCTTGGCAGCTTTTTCTCAGAATAACCATCTTCATAGTGAGTTCCTCTATGAACTTTTTCTTTCTGGATGGGAAAACCTTCATTCACTTGAAGGCTCCTCTCAGAAAACTTAACTCCGCGTCCCAAGCTCTCAGCGTGTTTAACAGGTCTTTCAGCTGGATCAGGAGCCTTAACCCGCACACTCAGATCTATAGACCTTCGGTCTGATTGCTGAGAATCAGAAATAGGTTTTCCAGGGATTGCTTGGTTGTAACCTTTTTGTAAGCCAGAATCAACACTTCCATCCCTGAGGGCTCGATTTGTCATGGATGGACCCTTGTAAGGGTCGTCGATTAGCCTATTAGGAGAAAATCTTTGAGGACTCTCTGAGAACAGGGAGTCCCTCTCCTGATAACTTTGTGGTTGAGCCAAGCTTCCTGCTTTTACTCTTTTAGCATGATCTGATTTCTCAGTAAGGTGCTTTGAATCTGAAACTCTTTTGGATTTACCCTTGGATATTCTCTCAGAGCTATCAGACTGCTCATGCTTAAACGCATCCTTGTTTCCTCTTTCGCAGAACAACTTTCCTGTATAGACTTGGGTTTCTTGATGCTCATGACGATCAGGTGAAGAATATTTGTTCTCTCGACTCTCTTCTACAGCTTTTTCACCTTCTTCAGTAGGAGTTGAATTACTAATTATAGCCATCTCATTCTTCTGATCATCATCAGGTAAATCCTTCTCGATTTCAACTATGTCCAAGCCATGGCCATCTTGTTTGTCATCACTCTCATTTTGCAAAGGTTCAGCATCCGATGTCCTCCATGGAATTGGGGATCTAGAGAACCTTGGTTCAGAATCTGGCATCTTATGCTTGGATTCTTTGTCATCATCGCTTGTCATAATATCTACATCCTCATCAGACCCCTCCTTGCTGTTAGAAGAGGCATCACTTTCACTGTCGCTACTACTTCCACTCCCACTTCCCACTGGGCTTCTACTTTTGCTTCTGCTTCTACTATGGCTACCACTGTCACTTCCACTGTCACTGCTGTCGCTGTCACTATCACTATCACTTCCGCTGTCACTAGAGCTACCTGCTGGCCCTTCACTGTTGTCAGAAACCTTTTTGTCACCAAAACGGTCAGGTGAATGATTTTGGATATCAATTTTATCCAAAGAATCTGATTCTTCTCCAACTTTAGTATTCAACTCCGCCTGTTCCTCCGCCTCCTTAATAGCAGCTTTTTCTGCACAGTCCTGTTTGGCAGCAGGTATTTGATCATGGTTGTCTTCAGGCACAGGTGCTTGGTGATGACTATCTTCAGAATAGCTGCAAAATGAAAACATAAAACATCAGATCCATGACGGTGAGGACTCAGACATATGCACAGCACTATGCCAGTTAAAAAGGATTACAAATAGATATTAAAACATCAGATCCATGGTGGTGAGGACTCATATGCACAACACTATGCACAGTGAAACAGTTAAAAAAGAATAACATATATATATATATATGGTGGTCCTGATACCAGGCTAACCACCACGTAACCTTTGCAATCCTAACAAAAACTATAAACCAAAGTTATGAATCATGGTAGTTTTAATCAAAAACTATAAACCAAAGTTATGACCCATGGTAGTTCTTCTTTTTTTTTTGTTGTGGGGGGGGAGGGGGGGTTTTAAAGTTAACACCACGACAATGTCAACAGATAAGCTTATAAGAAATTACAATAAAGAAGCTCATTCATTATGTCACAGCAAATACCTGCATTAGTCACCAAAGTCATAAGTAATATAGTTAAAAAAATTCATGTATGTTGAAGTGATATCAAATCAGAAGTAAATGCATGCTGTTTCCAAGAATTATTCCAGTCTGAGAAATAATGGACAAGAAAATTGAGATTACTTAAAATGATAATTCCCAAAACGTAAGAATATCAGGTCAAAGAAACTAGAAACTATATAGTAAACAAAACTTCGTGCATAAAGATTTAGATTCCAGAATCTAAGTGAATGACTTGACATGCAATTGGCACACAAAAGAAACATGGGTAAAACAACACTTGATGTTACCTCTTAATTAATCTTTTTTTCCCTGTTGATTTAGTATTTATTTATTTAATTATTCCGCTGCATTCCATTTGCCCTTAATGTGAGGACGGTGAAGTGCAGAACATCGATCTGGCTACAAAGTAAACATGTAACAGGCACAAATACCCATGTTTCCACTTCTTGTCTTCAACTTCATTTTCACTTCTAGTTAATTAGTCTTGTCTTAAAAAAGAGAAGTTCTAACCTCTTCTTGCAGTACCGATTTCGCAGACTGGAAACTAATGTTGCGCCTTGTGTTAACAATTCTCATCTTTATTATCCTGTTATACTTATCCATTTTGTGATCTATAATTGAATTCTATTAATGACCGACTAGTAAATGAAATGTCTGCTTTTGGTCTTCTGTTGAATATAGTTTGCTAAAAAATGAAGCAGAAAAACAACCATACTATTGGAGGGACCAACAAACCCATAAAGTAACATAAAAATGGCAGTTACCTTCCACTTTCTGATGAAGGTTTCCTGAAGTTTTCCAATTCTACTCCTGGTTTCAAGAGATATCTTCCTGGAGCTTGGAAAGTAGCAATCTGATGCTCAAAATATAACGAAACGTAATAAGATCATTTACTGTTCTTAGAAACAAATACACCAAGGATTGCTGCCACTTACTTTTTTTAATATCGGTTCAATCTTCCTTACAGAATTGGGTATTGCATCTCCAATAGATTTCTCCAAGGCCTGTGATATAAAAATGAAAATGTTCAAGGAACACAAATACATAAACCGTGATAAAGATTTAATGGATGTTATGGAGCATGCTCAAACAGTTAAAGGAAGTTTAGAAATACTTGGATTTACTTCCAGCAAATCAAACTAAACTTGAAGTGGTTCAAAGTTATCCACATGCTTACCTTTAGGCTCATTCCCTTGGGGTTCTCCATGAGCAGAGAAATTAGCATACTTTGCAAATCCATTTGTTTAGCTCCCAAATTTCCTCTTAGTCCTGTTTTTTCCCGTACTGCTCCACTAATAGTCCTGCCGGGAACTTCTTTCTCAAAGCTGGTAACATTCTCTTTACTAGTACTTGAAATGGGTGGAACATCTTCTACACTTGTTAGACCCTTTGTAAGATTTCCAGCTCCGAATGGAGATGCCAGAGTATTAGAATGCTCGGGTGGAGAAGGTAGAGGTGAAACTGAGTGCCTGCCCTTTGCAGGAGTTGTTGAGAACAATCCAGATTTATTAGCAGCTTTTGGAGGGCCTCCAACAGCAACTAATGCAAGACAATTAAAGAAAATAAAGAAAAGAAAAAGATAAAAAGTATTCTCATCCTCTGGAATTTGTATATGAAAAATCTTAAGATTCACAACTAAATTCCTCGAGTCTTCGCATACAATTGTACATAACATAGGAACATTGAAAACAAAAAGCATATTTTGTATCCCAACTACCTGGAGGTGGATCGACTTTTCGCTTCTTGAATGGAGGCTCTTTCTTTTGTTTGAATCTCCATGGATTAACTGGAATAAAGGAAACAGTGTGGATATAATACAGTGATATAATGCAATTAAACCAAAGTAATCAGTTAATGAGGAAATTCATAATTTCTATAATTGTCATTCCAAAGTATCATCTCCAACATAATCTAACATTTGATATAGTAAAATCAATTGATTTACTTCTATCCGTAACTTCCCTTGATCTCATATAGTGAATATGTCAGCCTCACTGGTGTGTACTTTATTTTATTTATTTTTTTTTTTTTATAAGTAAAAATATATTAGAAAAACATTCAAAAGGGGAACGCATCCCTAATACAAGAGAAAAGATCTAAGGACCAATAGAATCCAAGAGATCAAAGAAATCATCAATCGAGGAGCATGTACTTCCTCTAACATAAAAGAATAAAGAACGAAGAATATGAATTTTTAAATTAGCTAAGGACGATTCTTTTCCTTCAAAGGATCTGTTATTTCTCTCACGCCACAAACACCACCAGACACAATGAGGAACAATCTTCCAATAAGCACGAGCTTGTTTCTTAACAGGACAGCTTTTCCAAGCGTTAATCAATTGAGAGGAGTGCTTAGGCATTACCCAAAAAATGCCTAAAATGCTGAAAATAAAACTCCAACAACCAAACGCCACAGGACAATGCAAAAGAATGTGATCCACGGATTCACTATCATCTTTGCATAAACAACACCAATTAACAATGATGTTGCCTCTCTTTCTCAAATTGTCCAAAGTCAAAATCTTCCCCAATGCAGCTGTCCAAACGAAGAACGCGATTCGAAGAGGGGCTTTAGAGCACCACACGGACTTCCAAGGAAACTCGGAACCAACGAAATTGGATAAATGAATAAACATAGAGCTGACATCATACCGACCATGAGCCAAAGGAACCCACAAAATATCATCACACCCTCTGCCAATATCCTTCTGCCTATACAAAATATCCAAAAAAGCAGAAACTTCCTCCATTTCCCAATCCTGAAAAGACCGCCTAAACCGCGCATCCCACGTAACTCCATTGTTATCAAGATGATAACAATCAATCACGAAAACATGCTTATTAGTTGCAATGCTATAAAGCCTAGGAAATGAGTGTGAAAGCAACTGGTCGCCACACCAAAGATCCTCCCAAAAACGAACATGCCTGCCATTACCAACTTTGAATCTAATAAGAGTAGAGAAAACATCCCATCCCTTCCGAATAAATTTCCACAAACCAACGCCTCCCGTAATAGTGACTGGAATAGATGACCAACCCCCACACCCCTCACCAAAACGACACGAGACAACTCTTCTCCACTGACGATGTCGTTCCCTTCCAAATCGCCATAACCACTTTCCTAAGAGAGCACGATTAAAAGGAACAATTTTTCGAATACCTAACCCTCCGAATCTCAATGGTTGGCAAACTTGATCCCAATTAACAAGATGATACTTAAACTCCTCTCCCCTTCCACCCCACAGAAAATCCCTCTGAATTTTTTCAATTCTATCAGCAACAGAACATGGAATTTGAAACAAAGATAAAAAATAGGTAGGAAGGGATGAAAGAGTACTCTTTATAAGTGTGACTTTCCCACCCTTAGATAGATACTGCTTTTTCCATCCTGCTAATCTTTTCTCATATCTATTAATCACTGAGTCCCAATTCCCAACCAGAGTAGAAGAAACTCCCAAAGGCAATCCTAAATAAGGAAAAGGAAAAGAACCAACTCCACACCCTAAAACAGTAGCTAAGGAGGAAATATCTGGAACATCCCCCACTGGAACAAGCACACTCTTTCCGACATTAATCTTAAGCCCAGAAACTGCTTGGAAGCAAGCAAGAGTGCACCTCAGATATCTGAGTTGAGAAATATCAGCATCACAAAATACCAAAGTATCATCAGCAAATAAAAGATGGGAAATCTGGATCTGATGATCAACATCTCTGCCAACTCTGAACCCCCTAATGTAACCCAAATCTTCCGCTTTTCTCATTAATCTAGTCAGACCTTCCATAACGATGAGAAAAAGAAAAGAAGATAATGGATCACCTTGTCGCAGACCACGTGTGCTAGCAAAAAAACCCACCGGAGAGCCATTCACAAGAACAGAAAACATAACTGATGAGATACAAGTGTCAATCCATTTTATCCATCTATCACCAAATCCCATCCTCCGAAGAAGATACAAAACAAACTTCCAATTAACATGATCATAAGCTTTCTCGATATCAAGCTTACACAAAACGCCAGGAACCCCGCTTCTTAATCTAGAGTCAACACATTCCCCAGCAATAAGAACAGGATCCAAAATCTGCCTTCCACCAACAAAAGCGTTCTGCGATTCTGAGATAAGACCATCCAACACTTTACTCATCCTGGAAACAAGAACCTTGGCAATAAGCTTATACATACATCCGATTAAGCTAATTGGCCGAAAATCCTTGATATCAGATGCACCGCCCTTTTTAGGGATGAGAGCAATAAAAGATGCATTCAAAGATTTTTCAAATGTGCCATGAGAATAAAAATCCTGAAAAGTACTCATCACCTCCTCTCGCACCACCTCCCAACTCTCCTTAAAAAAGCGCATAGTAAATCCGTCTGGCCCTGGTGCTTTGTCCCCGTTGCAACTAGAAAGTGCCTTAAGCACTTCCTCTTCCGTGAATGGAATCTCAATACTATCCCTATCCATCGCAGAAATAGTATTAAATGGAAGACCATCAAGAGTAGGTCTTCAATCCAAAGTTTCAGTGTAAAGCTGCTGGTAAAAAGAAGCAATTCCTCCGCGCACATCTTCTTCCCTCCACAAATCAAAACCATTAACCCGAATACTTCCGATATGATTACACCTTCTGTGAGCATTGGCCAGTCTATGAAAGAATTTTGTATTCCGATCACCATCTTTTAACCACAAAGCCCGAGACTTTTGACGCCACGAAATCTCCTCCATATGAGCAATCTCAGCAAAAACCGCTTGACAAGAGGCTCTTTGAGAGCGTAAAGACTCCCTACTCTGTCCCACCTCAGCTAAACGATCAAGCTCAGCAATATCAGCAAGGGCTCTATTCTTTTTCCATTCAAGATTCCCAAAAACTTCTTTATTCCATCTCTTAAGCTCAGTTTTAAGAAACTGAAGCTTTCTAGCTAACACATAACTAGCAGAGCCTGTGAAAGACCCTTTTTGCCACCAAGACTGAACCTTCCCTTGAAAGTCTTCAGATCTAAGCCACATGTTTTCGAATCTGAAAGGAGTGCGTCTAGACCTCAAATCTTAGTGCTCTTTGGTTGCCAAATAAATATAGTCTAATCAGTTATAAGACAATTGATCGTAGATATTATAGTTTTCTCATAAACACTTGAAGTAGCTATAAGACAATGAGACGGTTAAAGTACCATCAATAGGAAATAAAATGAGATGAAATCGACCAAGATGGTACACCAATGTGCAACAAAGACCAATAAAGGCACCACTGAGAAAGAGTGATGTGGTCCATATTAAGGTGAAGATCAAAACTGACTGGTTGAGATAGTAATGAAAAATAAGATATCATGTGGTCTGATTGTAGTTATGCCATAGATGGAGCCGAATGATGAAACAAGATTCAAGTAGCCAACCACAAATAGTCAAAATAAGGCTTTGTTACTCAACTAGGCTTTCATATTACTTTCCCAAAGCCACAAGAAAGACTTTTTAAACAGGTGTTCCAGCTTTCATTTGTGTTGATGTGGGTGTGAACATTATCAACAATTCAATCTACAACAACAACAACAAATGAAACCCTTTCTCAATTACTTGTGGTCGGCTTGAATCCTTTTTTTCCATTCTGCTCTATCTAAGGTCATAACCTCAGTGAAACCTTGTCATGTTTTTCCTTATTAATTTTAATCATGTTAACCATCGGCCTCCCCCTCCCCTGGCATTACCCTCAATGTGGACCATGGCACATTAAAAACGGTGCACTTAGTGATCTTTTTTGCATGTGTCCAAATTATCTTAATCAATTTTCTCTCATTTTATCTCTAATTGGTGCTAATTCAACAATCTTGTGAATGTGTTCATTTTAAATTCTATTGTCAACAATTCAATCTCCAACAACAACCCAACATTAGAAAATGGATGAAGGCATGCATATCGATGACATATCCATGGAAAAATTCCTAATTAATGCAAAAAAAATAATAATAATAAATAGAAGTAATATATGGTTTAGGCTCATTCCACAAGAAATATCACTCTTAATTGTTTGCTAGTTCCAATCATAGATGCATGAGTGAAAATGTAACCATGGCATCCAACTCCGATGGATGTCAAGCAAGATTATGTCAAAAAGTTAAGAGAGAAAACTTGCTTCAGGCCTTCAGCATTGTTGCATGTGACATCAGGCTTAAGTGAATTCTTGTGCTCCATTGATCTTCATTGTGGAAATCCCGAGTAGTCAGATAATAAGGGGCTAAAAATCACATATACAGTTACTGGACACGGATACGACATGATACTAATATGGGATACGACAATTCCTAAAGCATTAAGACACGGACAAGGCAAATAATAATTATATTTTTATATATGTTAATATAATATAAGACTAGTATTACTTTTCATCAAATTAAGAATCAAAAATTCCATATCACAATAACTAATGAACTACAAGAACAATTCTCTCATTAAAGAAGAGAGAATGGGTTGAAGTATAATTTCTACACTCCTTTTATAAAATTTGTTGTAATTTAAAATGCATGACTAAACAAAAGATTACAATTGTTTAAAAAAATGAAAGAAAAGGAAGAGAGAGTGTGTGTGTGTGTGTGTGTTGTGGAGAGGAGGGGGTGTAAAATAGAATTTCTATACCCTTTCTTAAATTAGGACTTTGTTGAAGAAAATAGCACTTTGTCTATGATAAATCACAGAATCTGTTGAAGAAGAAAAGGGCTTGTGGTGATGATGGGGGGAGGGGGGGTGGTGGGGGAATGAAAGAGAAGTATTGAATAAGAAGAATAAACTCGCCAACAGTCAAGCACCTATGATAATTGTAGCAAGTTTGAAACCTTGCTGCAAAAAGCAAGCAAGATTCTTTTCATTTCACTTTGTGATACGATTTCAAACAAGTAACAAGCATAAGGAAATCCAGTAAATAAAATTGTTTGATAAATTTCATACAAATATATATATATATATTCTTTATTTTCGGCCACCATATTATTGGAACTTTTTATAGAATTTCACATACTTTTAATCAACTCATCTTTTTTTCTTATTTTTTTAAGAATTCCCTTAAATCGGACATGTGTGTCCCCTGTGTGTTGGTGTGTCCATCAAAAAGTGTCTACAGCATGTCTGTCTCATTTCCGCCATTTGTCCGAAAAGGAAAAAGATTCAAACACATAATTAGCCGTGTCCGACCTTTTAGGTGTATCCATGCTTCCTAGGAGGGGGATTATCGAGAATTTATCTACACCCATTTTTTTTTGATAAGTAATAATAAATTAAAAAAGGCGTTCAATAGGGGAACGCATCCCGTGGACATAAAAGAAGCCGGGGTCTAAGGCCCCAAAGAATTTATCAACACCCATTGACAATGAGATTTACCAAAACTAGACCCTAAGGCGGCAATCCCACTATTTATCACAAGCAAGAATACAGTTCAATCACAAATCACTAAGAATCCAAGATGATGATGACCAAATATACTAATAAGCCTTTCTAAAATCTATGAGAAAATAAGACAGTCATGAAATTCATAAAATTTGATGGAGACTAAAAGGCTGATATCATATCAAAAGTATCAGCGAGGCACATTAAACCACAAGCAGTTCCATATACGTATGCCCAAAGGTTTATCAACTGTTAATGTCACCAATAAAAAACCAAAGTGTATATCATGCCTAACATTTCCATCTTTAGCCTCATATAGAGATCATAAATCCATTCCAAATCATTTGTTTTCAACATATAATTTGGAAAATAAATTAATAAATAAATGACCAAAACATTCTTGGAGTTCCTTGACCCTGCAATTTGGTCCCATTTCTTTTCATCCTCTCAGGGATTCAAATTACCGGGTGAGGAAGAAAGGAACTATAGTCAATTTTATCAGATAGCAACTTTATATACCAGAGTTTCAGTGCTACACAGACTACTCGTGCCAATCAACAACATAAACAAGAGTTGAGCATTTGTTCAAATGATTATTCTCCGTATATCAGCAAGGATTAAAAACTGGAAACTAAGGGAAAAAGAAACGCCTGTATTAAAAACTTACCCTCCACAGCAGCCAATGCCTTAATTTGACTTTTCATAGATGGATTGCCATGGTCCAAAACAATGGCTCTGCAATCAAGAAAACGTAATGTAATCAACTAAAAGCATAAAACACACCCAGCAGCTTAAGACATCATTCTCAACAACATGCCTTGAGTCAACCTTCAAGTAACTTCTAACCCAAAGGTATAACCTCCCTATCCTCAAAGAGGAGAGGAGGGATTCGAGCCCGGGAATGGGCAAAAAAGTATGTGTGAGTACTTACCTGATCAAAAATGAAAATAGAGAATATAAAATTGTTTTTCCAACACATACAGAATCAAGATATTTCATTAATGTAAACCAGTATTTTTTCCTTAGGTAACATGGATACAGACGGATAAAAGCAAGTCGAGAAAAAAATACATATAAATATGTTTAGGCCACAACTTAAGTAAAAATGAATCATCCTTTAAAATAATTGCACAACTTACTTGCGTGATTTGAGCTTTTTCTCGGCTTCCTCTGACCGCATTTTAACATGGTTCTTAGTTGACTCATCCAAGATACGATGTACATTCAATTTGCGCCAGGCACACCCAGATTCAACGAGCAAGCCATTTCCATCTTCACCACTTTGACGTTCTTCATATATGTCACAGAGGTCTCCCATTTCGCGCGACCATGTAAATCTGAAGTCCTTACCACCTAAGTCAATAACCTGATGCAACGACAGACTGCTTAAAGCTATGATTGATTAAAAATTTAAAAGGACAAAACCAAATAAGGTTAGATTACAAACTTAAAGTCAAATAGAACCCTTTGAAGTCATCGGTACCATGGAATCTTACATAAGAGGAGAGGATTGAGAAAATTAGATATACAACAATAAACTCCAGCCACGCATAATCCAACACATGATGGAGCAAGTTAAAAATAAAAAAATAAATAATTGGAAATTTGGTTGGAGAATGAGGGTACAAAATCTTTTAGAACAATATGAAACATCCAGTCACTGTGAATTAATATCATCCAGTCACTGTGACGACATTTGCATGAATTGGTACTTAATGACCAAATCTGCTTGCCAATGTCCTAAAGAAACCACTTGAGTCACGCCTTGTTAGTTGTTATTTAGTAGGAGAAGGGTTAGAAAGAAATGATGCCTTGGTAAAGCTAAGTCTACCAAGAAAAGAATGGAAGAAAGAGGGAGGAATTTAGTGGCAAAAACTGTTCCTAGGTACATGTACGTGATATATATCACCCAAGGGGCAGTATACCTCAGCCTCCATGAAAGCCTCAACTGAAATGAATGGAATTTATAGAAAGCCATAACTGAAACAATTTAGTTCTCACATAAAAGAACTACAAATGATCCAGCAACAACCCAATAACGAAAAAGGAAAAATCAAAACGTATTATTCTAATAAATAAATATTTGTACAGAGCTGAGTTAATGGTACTAGTTATGAATCAGTCCCTTTAACTTTATATTCTCTTTTGATGTGAAAAGGCATATCAAACAAGAAAAACACAAAACCCTACAACTAACTCAGCAGCTCAATAGAGGACAAAGGAATGAGAATCCCATTGAAGGATATCTTGGCCAATACTTTGAAGATAATGCAGTAGTTCAAAGGGTTTCGACAGTTCTCTGTTGATTATCAAGCAGCACCCTTTTTGCCCTCAATAGTAGGTGTGATAGGCTATTAATGAATTAAGAATTTAATCAAAATAGGAAAGCTTTTAAGAGGTGTGTAGAAATTAAACACCTTTGGTATAATTGAAAACCTATGCTAGAAATAAGGAACAAAAGGAACTATTAAAAAAATAAAAAATAAAAAATAAAAAAAACCTTCATTTTTCAGCAAGCGTGATCTTAGCCAATCAGCCATATTGATCAAAAATGCATTCTATTAGCATGTTCTGACTCTTTTAAAAGCGTTCAGATGTGGAGCATGACACGGGTGAAAATTTAGGCCCAATCCAGAAAATATACAGTACAAGCAATATATAATCCTACCAACAAGGTTCCACTGTCACATAGTTGCAAGTTTATTTGATTTAATGGCCCAAGGAGGGCCATGCTCCTTGTTTTAAGCATTCCTCCTACATTTTCTTTCTCCTAGTCTAATATGCATATGACCAGTTTAATGAAATATACAACAGAAATTCTAATAAAGAGGAAGGCCTTATAGTGGATGCCTAAACATCCAGAGACGAGGAATGGCGACGAATGGTAAAGTTATAATCCCCACTACAAAAGTGCACCTACAAGGATTCATTGACATTAAGGCCGAAAGGTGTAATCGATGGACAACAGAACTCAAGCAGCAAGCTAATGTCTATTAAAAGATCTTTCTGGCGTTCAACTTTGAATAATATTAAATTCTAACAAGTAATGCTACCAATGTTAGCAGCAAACTTACCCTTTCCAAAAAAATCATGCAATGCTTGTGGAATAGTGAAGGGCATTCAACAATGTGTCAATTAAAATTCTTGCTCTTTGTTTATTTAATTTATGCAGCTAATGCTTAAGGTGATGCAACAAGATTTTCAAATAAACCTGTTTTCCTTCTCTAAAATTCTTCTTTTAAAGCACCATCCAGTATTAATACAACTAAATTTGTACTGATTACACAACTTTTTCTGAATATCTCTATGTCAAGTCTGCATACATAGTCTCTGAAACTCTATCATGCTAAATTGATACACTAAGTACCTAATAGAGTTCAATTCGCAAAGATTTCCTCTTCCACCAGTTAAATAAAGTACAAGTTCCTAACTCAACAAAAAAGCACAGTGAATCATAAACCTAATCCAAACCAGAGTACCATCAACACTATCGAAAGATATCCATGCATTGGATAGATTATGAAAATTCTCAACATCCCACAGTTCTGTTGAACCCTAGTTTGCAATTAAAAATGCAAACTCACCATTGTATTAATGCCGGAACAATAAATTCAGTAACAAAACTAAGTACAAAACCAAAACTATGCATCAAATTAAGACTTCAATATCAATATCAAGAATAAACAAAACCAAATAAAGGACCATATTCGAATTATATGCGGCGTACCCAATTAAGCAAAGTTCATGAAACTTACGTTTCCAGACGAATTACTCCCATTAGAGTCGAATTTGATCCGTGCGGTACCGCCCTGTGCCTCAACGCGTTTGATCTCCTCGACGAGGTCTGGCGTGAGCCGTATAATCATGGCGAAGTTGAGAGGGTTGCCGGTGACAAGACTGAAAGTCTCTTCCGCCGCAGGAGGGGCTGAGGTGGTGGCACCGGAATTGCCGCTGCGATTGCGAGGGCCAGCGCCGCTACTAACCGAGAGGCGACTTCCGGAAGCGGCGGAGGGGCGGTGGAGAGGCGAAGGGTTGAAGGTGGAGTGGATGTTGCGCTTGCCGGCGGCGGCGCCCCCGCCTCGGCCTCCACCCCCTCCTCCTCCGCCGCCTCGGCCGAGCTTCCCGGAGCCTCCGTACATTGTGGGTCCGATTCGTCGCGTTTGGGGTTGAAGTTTGGGCCGGTCGTGCTGAATACGTTGAAGGCTGAAGAGAAGGAATCGAACCAGAGAAGCCGACGGAGAATATAATTGGGTTTTCAGTTTTTCATTTTTTTTATTTTTTCCCTATATATTTCATTAGAAATTTATGACTATTAAATTTTTATTTTTATTTTTTTCACATTTCTATCATGTTATACTGTGTTAAATTATAGCTGATAAAATTACTGAAAAAAATTATTAAACTATACATGAGAAAGTGGAATGGGCCAACTCAATATATAATTGATGCTTATGGTGAAATTTTCAAATTCAACTTTAAAAATCACACAACTCTATGAGTTCAACCTTTGTTTTTTAAAAATTTTTGTGTAACTGTCTCTCTTCTTCTCAACAATCTAAACATTAGCATAAAAAAATTTATAAATGAGTTTTTTTTTTCTTTTCTTTAGCTAAGGTAATTTATGACATGAGGTTCATTATACATATCAAACATGGATATTTTTTGAATGGTTTTTGTCAAATTTTATGATTTAATAGTTGAAAACAAACACATGAGAACTCATCATCAGACTTGATAATAATGAAAACACAATAGGATTCATTATATAATTTTAGATTATAAAAAACTTTTTTAATTGAAAGTGACCAAAATTATTTTAGTGGTATTGATTTCAAGTTTTATTTACAATCTAGCACAAAAATAAAAATAAAAAATTTGTTGCAATTTGAGAAATTCAAGGATTTGATTTTCAATTGCAGGTGAATTGGCATGTAATAACAAAAATAAATTTTAAATAATTTGGGGAGAGATAATAAGTATGACTAACCTCATTCGTATGGGATAGATTAAGACAATAGTGATGAAAAGTTTTTCAATTGTATTGAATTAAATTATACAATAACAAAAGATCAAAAATTAGTAAAAATAGAAGATTGTGGGTTTGCCTCGTATTTTATTAATATTCGTTGTATTTAACTCCTTGTCAATCTTTAAAAAATCCACACTAAAAAGTACTAAAGAATTTTTTATTAAACAATATAAAATTTTTAAGTGACCTAAAGCTTAAAGCTGCCATATTGTAGTGGGATTAGCTGTTTTATAAATAAATATGTATATATGTATATGTTTATATCTCTATATTCATATCACTTAATAAGTTAATATTTTACTCTTTATTTTGTTCATTGTTAATTTGTTACAGCTGATTGCAGTCATTCTTATTTTGTTATATTTTTCTAAAAAGTTAGCATTATTCTCTTCTCCTTCTAAAATTTCAAGGTACTCGTCAAAAAGCCATTGTGTATTGTCATAATATTTTTATAATATAGTATGGCTTGGGAATTTGAACACTATTTTTTACTTAATGGAAAAATGAATATACCATCTACATTTTTTTTTTTATATAAAATTCTAAATTGAACCAGTGTTGTTCATTACTCTTGCCAAAAAGAGAATGCTACAATGATTAGATAAGTTTTTTTTGCGGCTTCAATAAGCAGTGGCTAACAAAAATACTTACATAGTAATTAATATGATAGAGTTTCTCTCATTTTTTTTTTTTCAAGTGTTTAGTTCAACAATTGTCACATCAATCAATTACTTCTTCGGTCCTAAATTAAACGTCATCACAATTTTCAAAAATGACCTTTAATTTGGAACAGATGAAGTATAAGATATATTTGGACTTTTATCATTCGCTCAATATCGAAATATATTCAAGCTACAGAAATATTATATAATACGTATATCTACTATACAAATAGACAACTCACTAGGGATTTAAGTTTGGAAATTGCATTAGCTAAAGTCTTGTAACTTATTTAATTTGCTAATAGCAGCATTACACATCACAAAATATTTTATGATGCTTATCACGAGCTAAATTAATGTGTAATATGAGTAAAGGCAGATCCAGAAATGTATAACGAGGTGGGCTAATCTATTATGGGTGAGCTACTACTACTATGTTTTTTTTCCCTTAGCTAAAATTTAACTCTAGTTGTAAATATATATATATATTGTTGGGCTCAAGCCCAACCCTGAATCTGTCCTTGTTTATGAGTTATGACCTCCATTTCTCGTACTTCATCTTTTTTTCTACTCAACTTTATGTACTTACAAGCCGTGAGTGCATTCGATTCTTTTTGTCACATACGAAATTAAAAACACTTGATACCTCTTACTTGATTAAGTGTTTCAATAGCAAAATATGGACAGGGATATTTTAGCCTTCCCTCAACAATTCGAACCTAATACACCACCTCCCCCCTCCTCTCTTATTTTCTCAGCACAAAAAACACATAATGTAAGACCATGGGAAGGTGCTGGAATCCAATAGCACCGGTGACCTTACTGAAAAAGTACAGGTTTGATTGGAGACATTTTAAAATTTTCACTTGTTAACAAGATAAATTACACTGACCTTTCTTCAAGTTTAGACAAATTACACACTAGTATATTCTTCCAAGTTTATTACTTTGACCTTTTTAAATTCGTTTGTCAATGGTTGGAAAGTAATTTTGGGTGTGAAAAGTTAATAATGTCTTTATATTATAATGATACACATGGTAGGCCTATTCATCCTCCCCTTGGGACCATGTTGCACCCTTGAGCCCTCGGACCTCTTAATAAGTACCAATCCATTGATTCCATGACCTTGGTGAACCATCCTATTAAAGGGAAGGTTTAATTAATAACTTTTCTATCTATAAGCTCTATGGCATTTTATACAAGAGAAGGATACAATTATTATTTTATAAAATTTGGCTAACAAGTTTGTCAGAAAGAAAACATTAGGAATGTCGTTGAACATGGCCAAATCTAAAGTGAGATCAGAAAAATAAACGCGGAACAATCTATTCATATGTAAGTCATTAAATCTCAAGAGATGTCCGTATAATTACACTTTTTAAATAAAAAATGACACAAAATAATGATATTAAAAAGGGGAAAAAGTCTCAAATATTCTTAAAATAATTGCAACTTACTTTCTCTAGAACAATTCTAAGAAGATGCAAGGAAAAGTCACAGGAAGCATTGCACCTTGAGCAAGTATCAGTCTCACATAAAAAGATTGGTTTAAAGTTTAAACCCATCTCTCTCTCTTAACATGGTCAAATTGTACATCAAAATTTATTGTGTGACGGCACCGTCAACCCTTAACATTGGCTTAGTGCTACTAGTATTTCAACAGTGAGTCAGTAACCGTGCCAATATCCCATATTATACCATGCCATTTCACACGTCTACAGCCTCATTAGGGACATTATATATATATATATATATAAAGACATTAATTATAACTCAAAAGGAAAATAAACTAGGCATGCATAAATTGTATAGGATATCATCGCGTGACATGATCAAATTAGCGTATAACATGGGAGGGACATGATTGAAAGTTTGAAACTAATTAGAGATAGTTCATAACTTCTCATTATTATATAAAAAAAAAAGTTGAAAAAGAAGAACATCATCCATCCGTCAATCAATTGAGATGCAATATACTTAAAATAATCTGTCTCCCTTTAATTTTTATTTATTTATTATCGCACAATGGACAATTAGGAGTGAGAATACAAATTTTTACTTTCCATTCACTTCCAAAAGAAAAAAAAAAAATGTGTTGGCGCTTAAACTATTTTTTAACTTTTGGATATTATTTTATCGCACACAAATTCGCTTTTGTTGAAATGTTCGATTGCACTTTAAGTGAAACACGTAATACTTTATAACAATAACAAGACATTATAGCTTGTGTAATATATTTCCAACAATATTATTTAATAGAGAGAGTATAACATCTTTCTATTATTTTGCATTCAACGTATAACACACTATATTTACAATGCAATTCCATAATTCATATAATATATTTACGTTAACATAATTCTTTTCATAATTCAACCAAAGAGTGTTTTTTCATTATATTGCATCATGGAATTTATAATATTTTCCATCTATAATTTACTAATGTTGGGTTTAGGGGCGGAGGGAGGGGGTTCCTCAAAGTCTAAAGATTTTTTTTTTTTCTTTTTTGGAAGTTTATTATTATAATTTTGATATAACATATGAGTACTCTATGAATACACATGTATGTATATATTGTTTGTCATGAATATATATATATATATATATATATATATATATATATATTAATTTGACAATGGACTGTTATATATTCTTCTCTCCATTTTTTCTTTACATATCATTTATAGACCTCTTTAAAAAAAAAAAAGATCTAAAATGCATTAAAAAAAATTTGTTACAATTTTTTTTTTTTTAAAATTCAATTTTATATTAGTAATTTAGCCCCCAACTTTATATTTCTGGCTCCGTCCTGGTTGGGTTAATTATACAAGTAATCCAAATTATTATATTTTTGGGTAAATTTATTTTCTTTTTCTTTTTTGGTGACTATAATTTAGAAACTGATCGATAATTTTTCTAATTTAATAGGAAAGTAACTAGACAAGTGGCTAGTGTAACCATCCAAGGGCTATCAAAGGGTATGTAATCGTTTTTATTTATTTATTTTCAGCTTTCGACGTCTACAAGTGTGTGTTTTTATTTTTATTTATTTTCAGCTTTCGACGCTTATAAGAGCGTGTATATAAATATATATATATATATATAAAGAGGGGTACATAACATATCTTCTAAGGAACTGCCCTTTCCTGCAAGCAAACAGCAGATACTCGACGCCTCTCTCGATCCCGCGTACACCGAAGCTCTGTAAACATGCCGACAGGTCAGAGAACCATTCTATTTGATTTTCACACCACTCTTTTGACGATGATAAATAGCAAAGTTAACGCGATCGTCTTTATAATCTTTTGCCTAGTTCATCTATGAATTACGATTTACATTATTTATTGATTATAGCACCCATTTCATTTGCTATTTATGCACCCTTTTTGTTCTTCAGTCTAAGTGAGAACTTGTATTCGATTCTGCTGCTATTTTGATTTTTACGTTATGGGTTGATGGCAATTATTGACCTTGTTGTCTGGGTTTTATGGTTTAATTTGACACATCTGACTTTTGGGTCTGGTGATATTCAAGAAGCTTCTTTTGATTGTTAAGGATATTGCTAATTTGGGGTGGTTTACACTATGCTTGGGGATTTCGGAGAGAAAAAAGAAAGAAAAATGTTTTTTGTTGAGGAAAGAAAGGGAAGAAATAGAATGAGGTGATCTTTATCCTTGATTGCGAGTTCAGTAGGGAAAAGGAAGCAAAGGAAGGTGATTGTCCGTAGTGGGAAGAGTAATATAGGATATCACTTATTGTAAAAGCTATAGGTGAAAAGGTATGCAATAAGAGTGTGCTTGAATCGAGGAGAAGGGAAGGAAAGGACGAGGAGGAGTTTTTCGATTAATCTAGAGGTAAAGAAAATGGAAGGGAAAGGAGGAAGAAGGATGATTTTGTTAATCTATTCTTATTTTCATTTCCCAAGTTGGAGAAAATAGAGGAAAATGAGGGAGGAGTATGTGATTATGTGTTTTCTTACTAATCTCATAAAAAATGAATTATTGTGTAACAAAATACACCTTCCTTTTCTAACCACTCCATTATTTTTCCCTAACAAGTTGAATTGCAATCACTAATATTTCATTTCATTTCCACTCGTAGTTATTTATAAACATGAGGTAATTTCATTGGCTGTTTTCTTTATTTTCTCTTAACTAGTTAAATTCCAACCACCCCCCTCCCTCCTTATCTAGACGCACTATAACTTATTTTGTTTTCCTTCCATTTCTTTCTACTTTTGGGAGAAGAAAAATAAGTGGTCATGGAAGAGTACCATTTTCCTCCCACTTTCCTCAATTTCCCTGCACAAGGAATCCCCAAGAAGCACTCCCCAGTCCCCTCTTATGTTTTCTTTTCCATCCATTTTTCTCCTCACAAGCTTAATGCAGGACTCAAGAAACCGCATTTTAATGAATTATTGTAGATATATCCTGCCATCTCATTTGAAATATTTAATTATTATGATACTGACTGCACTATATTTTCCGGGAAAAAATCTGTACCATGTACATATATGTAATATATACATATATATGGAAACGAGTTCCCAATTGCCACCCCACTGTCACTTACACTTTCCAACTCTTAGTGAAAAGCACTTGTTAGTACACATAGTGTTTGTTACATGGCCTCTCCTTAATGTTTAAAGAACTAGTTCACACATGCAACACATGACATGCATTGAGTAAACACGCAAGATATTCTAGTTTACTATGTATAAAACTATTTTGTTTTATCATATATCTTACATGGCCTCTCCTTATGTGTAAAGAACTAGTTCACACATGCAACACGTGGCATGCATTGAGTAAACACGTAAGATATTCTAGTTTTCTATGTATAAATCTTTATTTATTTATTTTTTTTTTATCATTTTTTTTTTCATTACATAGTTTATTCTAAATGAATGGAGTTATCTGACCTGTTTTAAACAATATTTGTTACAAAAAAGTGCCATTTTTGCGAATATTAAAGATGTAAAGGTTAAGACATGTTCCATATCCTAGGGTTTGGAGATTAGACAATGTATTTGGGTCCATACATAGAATATAGGATGTGCTCAACTACAGTGACATAGTTGAACAACCAAGTATGAATATTTGCCTGCAAAAATATGTTAACTCTGTCCCTATTTTGAAATTGCAATATTAACGATTCAAATTTAAAAAAATTACTTATTAATTTGGGATTTTTTTTTTTAATAAAAGAATTAATGATAATCCAGGAAAATTTTGAATTTTCTTCATTGATTTTCGATAGGGCACTAACATGGGGACAACCAAAATAGAAAGAGGGACGTTAATCTTGGGACGGAGGGAGAACGCGTTAGTGGATAAACATAGTGTTGTAGACTGTAGTAACCTATTTAAGGGGTTCTGCTGAGCTGGGAGAAAATACTTCATTGATCCCACTCTGTAATTTTTTTTCCTCCTCTCTTGTGGAACTGTCATAAAGTGTATCAAACCTAATAAACCATAGGCCAGCTTGTAAATGCAAAACTCAGAGCAATATGGTTAAGCAAAATAATTTCAAAGAATGGATAAATAATGATTTGCAAGAAGTTCTGTTTGAAAAGGGATTCCCCCCAAATTTCTGTACATTGGCTCAAGTGCTCAAATTTACTTGCTGTTGGTTTGGTTGCATTTGTGGTTATTTTTTTCTTTATGATAAATTATATTCATGGACTCTACTAGCAGTTGGTTGATGGCACCTGTATTCAAAATTTGCAATGGTGATTGTTTAATTTATAGCTATCTTACTTATTTTGGGTGTGAAATTTATTAGCTTGATTTGGTTTATGAAATGTTTTATGTCAGTTCATTTCTTTTCCTATGCGTTGTTAAGATTTTAGCTTTATGCTTTTATCTGCATTGATTTGGCAACTTATTTACTCCATTGATGGCTTTCTATTTTGTTGTTTGCTTCGTTTTATTTTTATTCTATTTTATTTTAACATCCAAATTTATTCTCTTGGCAGTGAGTGTAAAATGGCAAAAAGAGCTGTTTCCAGCCGTGGAAATTGACACTAGCCAGCCCCCTTACGTTTTCAAATGTCAATTGTACGATCTAACAGGAGTACCTCCTGAAAGGCAGAAGATAATGGTCAAAGGTGGCTTACTAAAGGTAATAAAATAGTTTCTGCGATTTATTAAATATTTATATGTAACATGCTAAACCTATTCTGATTGGTGAGACTATAGTGGATTACTCTGCATAAATTGATTGAGAGGTACAGTTATGTGTTTTTCTAAAGGCAGCTATTAACCTTCTTGACTAATTCTCTGATAATATAGGATGATGCAGATTGGTCAACATTAGGAGTGAAAGAGGTGAATGATCTGTGTATGTGATACTATTTTTGTTGAACTTTTAGAATCGGTTGTTACGTTTATTCCATTTTGCATGTTTTGTCTAGGGTCAAAAATTGATGATGATGGGAACCGCAGATGAGATTGTGAAGGCTCCAGAGAAGGGCCCTGTTTTTATGGAAGACCTTCCCGAAGAAGAACAAGTGGTTGCTGTGGTAAAGTTCTTGACTTCTTGTTGTAGATAATAATCCCTCTTTGAGGCTTTTTCTTTTTTTATTACTATATTAGTTGCCTGGTGAGGATGCTGTATTTAATGGTTTAGCTCATCCTAAGCTTTTCCTGGTCATCACAGTGTCTCCATCAGTTTTCATACATGGATGCTGTATATTTATAGACCAAGGTTATGCACTTGTATCTGTACCAATTCATAGAACGTTTTGAGGGATTGCTGCAGTTACATTCTTGTCGTGGTTTGTGGCTATGCCTAAGGTTTGTTTGTTTGCTTGAAAACCAAAAGGGTGATGGTAAAAAATTACAAAGGATTATGTTCAAGGGAAAATAATGATTAAAAATACAAGGACCTTCATGTTTAAACAATCCTTCATCAATTTTAACAAAAACAGGAGTTTGATGAGAGCAACTTTTAACCCGGATCTAAAAAATAGTAATTATATGATAAGCAACAATTTTGGATTTCGACTGACAACCTAATTACAAAGATGCTTGCTCGACTCAAATAATACTAATTGAATTGTACATATTCCAAATTATTATTATTATTATTGTTTTTATTATTGTGATAGGCATGGTAAAATTTTTCATTTAGCCAATCAACTAATATTGTGTTTATTATGCTTATGTTTTTTATATTTATATTATATATTTTCTTTAGGTTTATGTTTGGTTCTAATCCTATCATCAGATCAACAACCTAATATGCATCTTAATTTTATCTATTATTTTACATATTCTATATATGTAATTTTTGTTATTTTCATATTAATTATATATTCATTGTGATGTTGATTATTTTGAATTGGCAACTGATATGGAAGTTTAAATTATTAAGGAGTTCAATGATATGTTGGTATGGGTTATCAAATTAGCCAATGAGGTTACCGGCCTATTCTAATCTATATAGCACGGACACTTCTCTTGGGGTGTTGTGGTGGTAGACACTGGAACACATATCGGACACGCGGACTCAACCTGAACACAACTAGATTTGTCTTGAAATTTGAATATTTTATTTTCTGGTTGGACACAGCTGGGACAGTGCAAAAATATGTGTTTTGAACACTTTCAGGACATGACATTGTGGTTTTGTAATTAACTTTTTAGAAGAATAGGATTCAATGCAATTTAAAATATATTATGAGTTGATTAAAAAAATAATATAGAATTTAAAAAAAAAAAAAAAAATCTAGCTTAAAAAGCTCCAAATTAGTGATTTCATTCATGATAATATGGACAAAATGACCAAAAAATATTTTTCATATGTATAACAATATATTATATTATTATTTTTGACATATCCATAATTCCTGACCTATTTTTTTGAAATTTGCTTTATTGCCATATCTGGGCTCGAATCCTTCCCCTTCTTTTTAAGGATAGGAAGGTTATACCGTGGGGCAACTTGGGCTACAAGCCCTTTGGTTTGGTTTTCTATTGTTTTTATACATCTTGTTTATTGTTTCTACTTTATGCCATGTTTGGGCTGACAACTTGAGCTTGGATATTTTTGGTTAACGGGTAGGTTTTCATAAGCAGGTTGAGTAATGTCTTATACTGTTGTTATGTCTTCTCACTGCCGAAAAAAGCTTCTGGCCAAAATTCTAGTATGCTAATTTCAATTCTTTTCTTCCGTAATTTGGCATTTTATGTGACAAACAGACTAAAAGATATTGAATTTTTGGAAGATGTTTTGTGTTTCAGAATTTTCTAACAAACAAATAAAGACAAAGGGTGGTAACACGCTAGTGTAACTGGGGGTAGTCCATTTTCACCCATATGAAACAGGGTTTGTATCTATGTAACCAGGGGTGAAACTACTAAGAGATTAAGGGGGACCATGGCTTCTCCAAAATGTTTCAAATACTCTGAAATATAGGCCTCCTATAAATAATGAATTGTAAAGTAGTAAAAGATTTTATATGTGGCCGCTCCATAATTTTGTAAATTCCCTAAAGGGTTAGGCCTCGTATAAATGGTGAGTCACAGAATAGTAAAAGGATTTAATATGTAGCCCTCCAAAACTTATACAAATCTGAAATTTAGTCCTTTTAAGTCTTGTTTTTAAATCTTAAATTTGAAGGAAAACAACGAAAACTTCAAATGTAACTCCTATAGCTATTATTCTTTGTGCACATCGGTGAGTTATGAAATGATTTTGCTTTATAAAGAATCTTCTTAGATCCACCCTCTAGAAATTTGGGCATACTATTATTCAGAAAAAGATTACATTATAATTTTATAAGATTTTACTCTTGATTCAGCCCCCAACTCAAATTTTTTGGGTCCGGTCCTGTATATAATTTAGTGTTATTTATTTTTATGTAAGACACACATACCTATATAGGCTTTATGGGGCAGGATGGAGAGAAGCTAGTGGCATTTTATGTCACAAAAGAATCTCAAATAGGTTCAAATGGAAATTTTACCGGAAATTTATAAGGCCAACTATTTTATATGGGGCAAAAATGTTGTGCATTAAAAAAGAAATAAGAGCAATGTCTTCAATCTTCATGTAGCAAAAATGAGAATGTTAAGATGGATGGTTGGAGTAACTCGAAGAGATAGGGTTATTACTGAAATTGTGAAAGAAAAATTAGGACTTAGGAGTGGCGCCCATTGGTGAGAGAATAAGAGAAAGTAGACTTATATGGTATGGACACATACACCGAAGACCTCTAGATGTGCTAGTAAGAAGAGGCAGACTACTTTGCATAGAAAGTAAGTGGCAAAGAGGGCGACCAAAATTATTGTGGGATGAAATTATTAGGAATAATTTTAAAAAGCTAAATATTAGGGTTGAGATGACTTGTAATAAAAAGGAATGGAAAAAGAGAATTTATGTGGCCCTTGGTGGAATGCAACTGTGTTTGAATTAGGGTATGGTGGGAACTTGAAACCTGACTTGTTATTGCTCAGGCATAGTACAGCAGATTATATCTATATGTTTGGGGTAGCCCTATTACCCGATCTTCCGCTCATTGAGATGGGGTTTGGGATGGAGTTGGGCATATATAATCTAATTTGGGTGGGATTTTTGTGTGCGATTTGGTGTTGGTAGAAGCTATAATTGCCCCTAACTGGGTGTGGTAGCCCCAGGATAGACCTGGTCTGTTGCAATTCCTCATTATGCATTTTCTTCAATTATCTATTTACTTCAAAGTTGAAAATTGCTTTTGCCATTGAAACTTAGTTTACTCATCCATTCTAAGTTAATTTGAACATTTTGTTTTCTCTTTTTATCTATTCTACTTTTTTGGGTCAGTTCCTTTACTTTTGAACCTACCAATTTCTTTATTTGTTCTCTGCACCTGGCTGTAATATATTTGCTTTGGACAGAAAACCTTAAATTGTGCACTTTTATTTTTCTCTCTTTTCATTTTGCTAATTTGCTTTTGCTAGTGCAATGTGAATTTTAATGGGGAAAAAAGAAGACAAGACTGTTTTGTTGCCTATATATTCTCTCAAATTTGTTCTAAATTTTAGCTGATTTGTATCTGCTTCCAGGGTCATACTGCTGGCTTATTTAATCTGGGGAATACCTGTTACATGAACTCCACCGTACAATGTTTGCATTCAGTTCCAGAGCTGAAGTCTGCTTTGATTATGTGAGTTCTATTCTATTGTGAAAAAGACAAATTTTCTCGGAAATTGATTTTTGGATATGGCCTTCATATGTTTTATTTGCAATATTCTCGCATGACGAAACTTTTATGCTTGGTATGTTATTTCTGATAAGGTATCCACAAGCTGGAAGAGGCAATGATTTGGACCAGTCTTCTCATCTCTTAACTGTCGCAACACGGGATTTATTCAATGAGCTTGATAAAAACGTTAAGCCAGTGGCACCAATGCAGTTCTGGATGGTGTGTTCTTCTCTGTTATATATATATATATATATATATTCTTTATTCTATTTATCTCTTTACTAGTCAAAAACTATTAATGCAATAATTCTTGGAATTATGAAGATAAAAGATTCTATTGGCCCCTGCGGATATCCTAATTAGTAGGTCTTTGGTGAAAACAACTGAAGGACATAGGTGGAAGGCAACATATTAAACTACATTCGGTGCTGAAAAAATGTACAGGTGGGACATTATTATAGCAAAAAGTCTGGAACCCATACTCAAAAGACTAGAGCTTAAGAAGAATGGCTTTCTATAACAAATGAAGTCCAATACTACAGACTCAGTTTATATGTGGCTCTCTTAGAACATGGCTGTGTGGAATCTCTATGAAGTTCAATACATGCTGGTCTCACAGTCGGCTTACATGTTCCCACAACTTTGGATTTCAATAATGATACAAGTGCATGGGTTCCCTCAGTTATGAAGTTGTCTCTTCTGCTTGGTTTACATTGTGCATCTTCACAATGTGGTGCTGCATGTCTATGTTGTTTGATTGCACACTCTCCAACTGTACGACGGGTTTCCCACATGATTTTCACCTTGCTCCGCTCATCGACATAGCAGGCTCATGGCCATGCACTTTGATGAATCTTATGCATGCCTAGGTTGCAAGTAGGACACAGAGAGCTCCTTTAGCTTGGTGAGTGGTCATGGAGTGACCTCTATGTTGCACCATGGTTAACTTGGTATCTTGGGGGTATTTGGCTTCTGTTGAAGGGTAGGATTTGCTGAGGTGTTTCCCTTGCGGTATACACCTTGATCTATCTTAAAGAGAGAGACATCACAAGATGTTTTAGAAGAATAGTACTTAATGCATGGTAGCATCCCATTGGACTGCATCAGCACATTAGAGCGCTCTGTTTGACTGTTGATTAACACGAGACATCATTTCGTTGGACTGTCGGAGCATCCTGTTAGGCGTTTCACTGGACTGTGGCAGCGTCGTGATTGATCATCTTATTAACACCATTGTTGCCTCTCTCTCTTAGAGAGACACCCACAACTGTCTTGTTTACACCCTAGCTCAATTCACCTTTAGGATCACCATCTTAATTTAAGAGATGAGCTTTTGACAATTGACAAGGATCACCCTAGCTCAATTTAGTAGTAGATCTGATAGTTCAGTTTACAGGGATGCAACGCTATTTGAATTTATGAGAACTGAGCTCATTGTATGGAAAATATCTTTGACAATAACCTATATGGATGATTCTCTGCCATATTGCACTTTTTGTTATTAAGGGAAAAGAAAGAGAATATTTATAATATTTATTTGCTTCATTTATGTTCACAGGTATTGCGGAAGAAATATCCTCAATTTGGTCAGCTGCACAATGGATCTTTCATGCAACAGGTTTTTCCAAATATCTTCACTATATCAATTCAATTTACTGTTCCTTTTCAAATTTGTTGTTGATTTATAATCTTAAACAAATGATAGGATGCTGAAGAATGTTGGACTCAACTTTTATACACTCTCTCTCAGTCTCTCAGATCACCGAGTTCCAGGTATTTTGTCTTTCTGTTGGCAGCACTAATACACTTTGCCCTTGGATGCATTTGGTTTTCTTAAATTGGTTGCTTAAGTTCATTCCTGTGATGATTGGTTTTCTTAAATTGGTTGCTTAAGAATCTCCTATGATATTGGTTACCTTGCTTCGTGGATGATTTGGTATTTATCAATATTTGATGATCGTTTCATTATTATTAATTTATTATTATGTTTGTACAGCTCTTGGGACTCATTCCCCCTTTGAACGCTTTCTAATACATTTTTACTTATCAATTTTTTTTTTTTTTTAATTATTATTATGCATTTTGTGCTACTGCAGACACCACTCTTCTTCTCTATCTATTTTTACCTTCTCTTTAATCTCTCTCTGACTCACTATCTTTTCCTTGCTGATGTGACTAGCATTTGATAAATTGCAATTCTGAAATTGTTTAGTTCATCTCTTCTTCTTTTTTGCCAGTTGCCCCCTCATAGTTCATGAAATTTGGTGTCATGTAGTTCTGTCAGTATGCGTTCAAACTTCTGAACTTTTCTTTTGGCCAGAAATTTTTTTTTTTTTTGGCCGTTCCAAGGATAATTATTTTCGCCAACATGCTGTATCTAAATAAGATAGAGAGTATCTTTAGCATTATTTTTTTCCCCTTAAATATTTCCAGCATTTAATGGTTCGTGCAATGGTTTCTCTTTAATTATAATTGTAATAGTCTTTCACAATATTTCATTGCAGTGAAAACCTGGATGCTGTGAAGTCACTTTTTGGTATTGAACTTGTTAGCAGGTACTTTCTGCAAATACTTTTTATATAGCCATGTTTTTTTAGTGAGCATGAGTGACTTTTTATAAATATTTCTAGTTTAATATTGCTTAGCCTTTGTTTGTGGAGTTTCCATATAAGTTGGCCTTTCCTTGAATGTTATTCAATGAACAAATTATGAAGTTAAAGGTTGAATTCACTCACACATTTTGATGGTATAATCGGTGTTGTGTACCATACGACTCCTCCCCCTATCTCTTACCTGTCTCTTTTCATGTTTGTTCTTCCCTTACTCAGCTGTTGGCTTCCTTACCGAACCTAATAAAAGAACTATAAATACCCCATTATTTTCTTTTATGTCCTATTATTTGAAATTTTGGAACCTGGATTGTGTTTCTGCACAAATTATTGTGCACCCTTTATTCTTAATCACTGCATAATTTGCCATATTTCAGAAATTATACAATTTTTAGTTGGTGAAGAAACATGTTTCTCTTTGATGGTTATGCTCCTCGAGAATGTCGTATAATGCAACAATTGTGATCTTTTCGTTTTCATCTCTTTCTTTGTGCTTCTATGTGGGGATTCCTGGAAGGATACATGTACAAGTTGCTAGAAATGTTTTTTTTTTTTGATAAGTAAGAATTTATTAAAAGCGCTCAAAAGGGAAGCGAAGCCCGAAGAAAACAAAAAGGGCCAAAAGGCGCCTTAGACCTTCAGAGAGGCCAAGAAAACAATGATTTTCTCCATAGATCTATAATCTCTCCCTGAAACCCAACAAAAAAGAGTAGAAATAACAGAGAACTTAAGCATAGAAATAGGCTTCTTTTTCCCGTCAAAATATCTCCTATTTCTCTCGAGCCAAATACACCACCAGATACAAAGCGGCGTAGCCCTCCAAGCATCCTTAACACCAACCCCAACAGAGACGCCTCTCTAATCTTCAATCAACCCTCTAGAGGAATAGGGCATGGCCCAATGGACCCCAAATAAACGAAGCATCAAATCCCAGCAGTCTCTGGCCATATTGCAATGTAAAAGGAGGCGATCAACTGATTCCTCATTACACAAGCACATATAACAATGATTGACCACCACCTGATTCCTCCTCCTCAAATTATCTTGGGTTAAAATCTTACCCAGGACAGAGGTCCAAGCAAAAAAGGCGACCTTGCGGGGAGTCTTAGAACGCCAAATAGACTTCCAGGGGAAGAGTTCACCTTGACCATCCGAAAGACATCTAAAAAAGGACCTAACCTCAAATCGGCCTTGCGAGTTAGGAATCCATAGCCACCCATCTGGCTCCCCAAAAGAAATCACCTGGCTATACAAAAGCTCCAGAAAACGAGAAACATCCTCGATCTCCCAATCCTGAAAATGCCTCCTGAACTGAACATCCCAAGTCAGTCTCCCGTTATCAAGATGATAACAGTCAACAACCATGGCCTGTCGGTGAGAAGCAATCCTATAAAGCCGTGGGAAAGCGAGAGCAAGAGGGAGCTCCCCACACTAGGGATCCTTCCAAAAACTGATCCTCCTTCCATCTTTAATGCGAAAACGAACATGCTTGCAGAAGTCATCCCAACCCCTTCGAATGAAGTTCCATACTCCCACCCCCCTTGGACCACGTATCGCCCGAGAGCACCACCCCCCACGACCTTCCCCAAACTTGATAGCAGTAACTCTCCTCCATAGCCAATGCTTCTCGATTCCAAACCTCCAGAGCCATTTACCAAGGAAAGCCTTATTAAAAGGCAACAACCTCCTTAACCCTAAGCCTCCAAACCGAATTGGACGACACACTTGATCCCACCGAACCAGGTGAAACTTGAACTCTTCTCCTTCACCCCCCCCCAAAAAAAAAGAAAATTACACTGCAATCTTTCAATTCTCTCAGCCACTGAAGAAGGAATATGAAACAGAGATATGAAGTATGTAGGAAGGCTAGAAAGAGTGCTCTTAATCAGGGTAACCCGACCCCCCTTAGACAAGTACTGCTTTTTCTAACCCGCCAACCTCCTCTCGAATCTGTCCACAACTGGATCTCAACTCCCCACACATCTGGAAGGGGCTCCCAAAGGCAATCCTACATAAGAAATGGGAAAGGAACCAGTGCAACATCCAAGGATCTGAGCAAACAACTCAATCCCAGGAACATCCCCAACAGGCACAAGAAGACTCTTGCCTACATTAACCTTAAGGCCAGAAACAACTTGAAACCAAATCAAAATGCATCTCAAATACCTCAGTTGGGACGCATCCGCATCACAAAACACAATAGTGTCATCTGCAAACATCAAATGAGAAACCTCTAATTGACTAGCAACATCCCTGCCCACCCGAAATCCACTCAAAAAACCCAGCTCCACAGCCCTCTTCAGCAATCTACTAAGAGCCTCCATCACAAAAAGGAACAGGAAAGGGGAAAGCGGATCCCCTTTTCTCAAGCCCCTCGAGCTAGAGAAAAAACCCGTTGGCGCTCCATTCACAAGGACAGAGAAACGAGCGCTAGAGATGCAGAAAAGAATCCATCTCCTCCACCGCCCACCAAAACCCATCCTCTCTAACAGATAGAGAAGGAAACTCCAGCTCACATGATCGTATGCCTTTTCAATATCTAGCTTGCAAAGAACACTCGGAACACCACTGCTTAAGCGGGAATCAACACATTCACTAGCAATAAGAACTGAATCCAGAATCTGCCGACCTCCCACAAAAGCATTCTGAGAGTCAGAAATGACAGCATCCATCACCTTCTTCAACCTAGAGGCCAAAACTTTCGCAATCAACTTGTAAAAACATCCCACCAAACTGATAGGGCGAAAGTCTCTAACATCCATTGCCTCTCCCTTCTTCGGAATAAGAGCAATAAAAGTTGCATTCAAACATTTCTCAAAAGAGCCCTGCACATGGAAGGCATGAAAAGAGGCCATCACCTCTTCACGGACGACCTCCCAACACTCCAAAAGGAACCTTATAGAAAAACCATCAGGTCCAGAAGCTTTATCCCCATTACAGCTCTTCAGAGCAGAGAGGACTTCCTCTTCGGAAAAATGTTCCTCTAAAATAGAGCACTCCTCACCCGAAATAGAATCAAATTGAAGCCCATCCAGCAAAGGGCGCCAATTGGCTGACTCAGTGAACAACCTCGAAAAGTACTCAGAAAAACTCTTACATATCTCCTCCTCTTTACTAATTAACACCCCATCCACCCTTATCATCCCAATGTGGTTGCCCCTTCTGTGAGCATTGGCGAGCCTATGAAAGAATTTTGTGTTATTGTCTCCTTCCCTGAGCCACAAAGCTCTAGATTTCTATCTCCATGAAATCTCCTCCATGATAGCAATCTCAGCAAACTCTGCTTGACACTTCACCCTCCTGAGCTTCAAAGGACCCGTCAAAAGACCCTGATTCTCCATCTTATCAATGTCAGCAATCTCAGAGAGAACCCGGTTCTTTCTCCAAGCCAAATTACTAAAAACCTCTTTGTTCCAGACTTTGAGATCATTCTTCAAAAAACGCAACTTGCCTGCCAAAGAATGACTCGGAGTGCCAACCACTCCATACCCTGCCCACCAGGATCGGACTCACTCCAAAAAGCCTTCAGCCCGGAGCCACATATTCTCAAATCTAAAAGGGGAACTTCTGCTGCGCAGCCCGCCACAGTCCAACAACAATGGAACATGATCAGACAAAGGACGAGCCAGGGTGGCCTGAACAACATCAGAAAACTTTTCCTCCCCATCACTCGACACCAAGAATCTATCAAGACGAGAGGGAGTAGGAGGAGAGCGTCCACTGGACCAGGTGAAAAGTCCACCCACCAAAGGCAAATCAAGCAAACAGAAACCATTAATAAACTCTGAGAAAGCCATCATCTCAGCTGTCCATCTGCCCCCTGTCGACCTCTCAAAAGGGGAACGAACAACATTGAAATCCCCCCCCTATACACCAAGGCAACGACCAACGCCTACGGATCTCCCCCAGCTCCTCCAGGAACAAATGGCAATCACAATCCTCCGTAGGCCCAACGACCAATGCCTTCTTCAGTATAAAGGGGAGTAAAAAGAGTTGCAGTATATAATTTTTGAATTTTCTAAAGAAAGACTACAGGTTGCTAATCAGTCTTGAGAAATGTTCCTCATCTAAGGAAGTAGTTACTCTTTATCCCAGAAGGAATTAAGTTCCTATGGATCTTCAAAGTTTACGGCTTTCAGTAGAAATTTTAATAGGTAATCCTAAAAGATAAAACGATTAATTTGAAAAGGTTAGTTCATTTACAATTAGAGAAACACATTGTAGTCAAACTTTGTCTTACAATTACTTAATTGAGCATTGGATGACCAATATGACTTTTTTTTGCCATCAGAAGCCAGTTCTTTGAGTTTTTGTCAACTATAATTTGTTTTAAATTTGTAATAGGACTTTACAGTTACTAATTGTTCCCCCAGAGAGAGAATTTTCTTCATGATTTTATTGGCAAAAAGGTAAGATAATCCCATTTAAAATGCTGAAAGGGTGATCACCAAAACATTATACATGGACCATATTTGGTAAATGGAATAAATGAAAGATACTAAAAGTGACAAGTGGACTCTATCATTGGTGATTTAGAAATTAGTTATTGATTTTGCTAGGAAAGAGAATTCATATCGTTTTTCCCTTTCAGTATTTGTTGGAGTGCAATCGAGTGATTTGGGTTTACACTGCACTCCAAATTTTTGCTTGCTTGTTTTTTGGGTAGGTTGTTGATTCATGAAATTGTTTTTACCTTTATTTCTTATTCTTGATGAGCAGAACTTATTGTACCTTTCTGGTACAACTGTACATTGTGGTCTGTTTGGTTTTATTGTATTGCTTTAAGGAAGCTTGAAAGATATTTTTCTTCTTTTATTGATTTACTTCTGCTGGTGTGAGCGGTAGGGTACATTGCGAAGAAAGTGGTGAAGAAAGCTCAGAGACAGAATCGGTTTATGCACTTAAATGCCACATATCACATGAGGTGAACCATTTGCATGAGGGGCTAAAGCATGTAAGTATTATTGCCAAATCAATAGTATTTTTTCTTTCGTAGAACATTCTAGTCATATCATGTTGTTTACTTGAGTAGCACTTGTTGATTACCTTGCGTGTCTGAGTCTTCGTTGATCCATGTTTTTTTGGTCAGTGTACATTTCAAATAGCTGGTCTGTCTCAACTAACATCAAAGCAGGTAGATCTTAGTCTTTGGATCTGACTCCTCCCTCTGTTTGTCCCACTCAGATGAAAGTGTGGAAACACATGAGGGATATGTTGGTTCTATAAATACTCAAGTCAGACTCTTCTCTATTGGTTTAAGCGTCTAAGTTAATTGGTGGATTAGAACCCCCTTCTCTCCATCTTTAGTATGACTCGAGGGATAATTTATCATCATCATTATCATCCTTGACTCATTCTCATATAAATAGGGACGGCCACATGAATTCTGTCTCCATTTTTTTTTATTGAACGTCATTTCACCTACTGTGTTTAACTTTTTAAAGTCTTTTTTAATAAGTTCGTCCCATGTTATTCTCGGTCACACTCTTCATCTCTTACCATCTATGAGAACTAATTTTCCTCTTGTTATCGGCACATCTATATTTCTCCAATGCATGTGACCGAACCATCTATAAGTCTTCTCTCTTATTCTCTTCTTGATGAGTGCCACTCTTTTTTTTGTTGATGATTGCCACTCCTATTTTTTTTCTCTTACACTTCTCTCTCCTATCTTTTCTAGCCACTCCAACCACCATCTTAGCATTCCCATTTTCGTTACATGAAGGCGTTGATCTTGTTTCTCTTTTTAAAATCCAACAGTCTGCTCCATAATGTAGAAGTCAGCATATAGATCTATACATGGTTTTCATAGACTTCAAGAAGGCATATGATAGAGTTCCAAGGTAAATAATTTGGTGGCCTGACATAGAAACGAGTCCCCTTTAAGTCTTATTATTATTATTAAGGATATTTATGAGGATACCAAAACTAGTCCGTACCATTTGTGGAGAAACTAACGATATCTCTATAAAAGTGGGTCTACACCATTTACAGAAAAAGAAAAAGAAAAAAAAAAAAAGTGGGTCTACACCAAGGATGAGTACTCAGCGCATACCTATTTACACTAGTCTTAAGATGAAGTTTTGAAAATATACAAGAAGACATCCCATGGTACACTTTGTTTGCCCAAAGTCTAGTACTGAGCTACCCTCAAGACTCTATTGGTTACACTCCTGATAGGCACCCCTTATGATGTTCCTGGCATAGCAAACCTGTGACAAGTATTGTTAATACCGTCGTAGGAAGAGAATATAAAAAACATGTAATCAGAAAATGTTTCACATTTTTGGATTTTTTACTATTGCCACTAACTTCATTCTGCAGTCCCTGATGACATATTGTAGCAAACATTTCAGCTTAACCAACCAAAGTGTGGATTGAAGGATTCCTAGTCTGCAATGCAGAGCTCATTCAGCTTGGAAGTGTAGTACTTCATAATATGTCACTGACTGTCTTAAAGCAATCAAAGTCAACCCAGCATATTATAAGTTTGTAATGAGTCGCTTTGCAGAATAACATTGAAAATGAGGCACTGCCAGTCACTTTCTGTCATCAATCTCTCTTTCCCCTCCCCAGCCCGGGTTCTGGTCCTTACGTTCAGGATAACTGGTTAGGAGCTTCCATTACAATGTAAAAAGGAAAAGACATTGATTAGTCTCCCCAAATGCCAATTAAAATCCTTAAGTATCTGGTGATGGAGATCTGCTTCTTTCTGGTCCTAGATCATCTCAGTAGTTCTAACTGGTCGATGTCAATATTGACCTCTATATCTACCTTGTGCATTTTTTTGGGGGGAGTCGTTTTGTCTGATGATCTTAGAAGTATATTTTGTTCGAAATTGTCCATTTATGGTGAATGGTCCCTAATCTGCAATTTGTTAGATAATTTACTGTATAGTAAATACTATTTGAGCTGATTGATGTCTAGTGACAGACTACTTCTGTTGAAAAGGCATTTTCTAGTCGATCTACAATTTATGCTTCCGGTTAAGCATCCCGCAAAGAAAGGGGCCGAGTTTGACATTAGAATTTGCTCTGCTTGGAAACCTTGGCTTCATTCTGGTGTACCATTTAAAGATAGAACATCTACCCAAGTGTGAAAAACTATTTCTTTCTGAGGATCCATAGTAAAAAGTCTTTGCCCTTTTTTTTGTACTGATTCTTTTTGTTGAAAATCTGCCCTCAATCTGCGGTAGTGGATCCTGTTGACAATTTGTTGTAATACATACCGTTTTGTTACATACAGGGCCTGAAATCGGATTTGGAAAAGGCTTCTCCTTCTTTAGGGCGCAGTGCAATTTACTTGAAAGATTCACGTATCAACGGCTTGCCAGGGTAACTACTGCCTGTAACTTATATTTTTGTTGGCTTGGAACCCCCTAGCAGTTTTTCTTACAGGATCCAACCATGTCGCTGAGCCTTTAATGTTTGCCTTTACATCACATTGGCTGAAATGCTATTGGTAAAGGAGTCAGCTTTGTCATGTGGACTCCTTTGACTTCTGTGTGTGTGTGTGTGTGATGCTTCATTGCTTTACTCTTGCGTCATGCCTTTTGAAAGAGAGATTCTCGTAGGGATTGTTCTGTAATTGACCACTCTCTCTCTCTCTAACTTTTAATGTACAGATACTTGACTATTCAGTTTGTCCGGTTTTTCTGGAAGAGAGAATCGAATCAGAAGGCAAAGATTTTGCGGGTAACACTGCTCTTCTTTTCTTTCTTTTTGGAATTTACTTGACAGATAATGCATTTCCCTTTCTCTCTTGTTTTTTTTTTTTTTTTGTGCTGCTGGGGAATGGTTAGGGTCTTGATGTTCAAGCTCCTAGGAAGACTTAAACATTGAGATTTTGAGAACAGTATCTGGTTAATATGTAAAAGGGTCTAGTGCCCCATCAATTTGGAATCATGCAAATTCACAATTCTTTATATAATTGAGAAAATCTAGTGCAATACAATTTGAAATGTCTGTGTATTATGCAGAAAGTGGATTATCCGTTGGAGTTGGATGTTTATGATTTGTGTTCGGACGATCTTCGCAAAAAATTGGAGGCTCCTCGCCGGGTATTTTCTTCTGCCATGTACTTTAGTGAACTCGAGTTTTATCTCATACAGCATCTAATTGCTCTTTTCCCTTGGTCTTTTTTTTATTTTGACACCCAACTAAAAGATTCTAAGAGACGAGGAAGGTAAAAAGCTTGGTTTGAAAACCAGCGAGAAGAGCTCTGGTTCAATAAATACTGATATCAAGATGCCTGATGCGGAGGTATGTAACTGATTCAGCTACAGGCTAAAAAACGTAATCTTGTTTTTATATATATATTTTTTGGAAAACCGAGTGTGCCCTCACTTGCCAATGGGACTAATCCATTCGGATACCCGCAATCACACTTCAAACCATAGATATTGGGTAAACAATGCGGGGAGGTTCTTTGATGCTCACAGGAATCAAACACAGGACTTCTGGGTCTTAGCCAACTTGGCTACCCCACGGGAGTTTGTTTAGATAATCATAATGTATTCATATTTCTATTCATGCAGGGATCATCAAATGGTAACGGAGAATCATCTAAAGCTACGTCACAAGGAGGTAATTATAAGGGAATGTTCCCATTTCCGAATCACCCAATTTTGCCTTAAAGTTTGATCTATGATGAGATTTCCATTTATAATTCATTGTGCTTCCATGAAAGTCCTTTCATGAACCTGTTCCACTAAAAAGGAGCTCGGATAATTTGATGCATATAATTTCAGCTTTCACAATCTGGTTCATGTCTGTCCCAGGGGATCTGCCTGACAAGGATATGCACTTGACTGGAATATATGATTTGGTTGCTGTGCTTACTCACAAGGGTAGGAGTGCTGATTCAGGGCATTATGTTGCTTGGGTCAAGCAAGAAAGTGGTCAGTCCCTCTGGAAGAAACTACTTGTTGATTAATGCTATCCAACCCAACTTGTGTTAGTTTTAACTATTGACCTGATTGGCAATCGATTTTGGCTACAGGGAAATGGATTCAGTATGATGATGACAACCCAGTCCCGCAACGGGAGGAAGATATCACAAAACTTTCAGGAGGAGGTAAGCTCCCCAAAAGACGATCCTCGAATATTTTTATAAATTTTAGTTCCTTCAAATATAAACGAATTAGGATACATCATTAATGTCTCAGTTTTCCAATCGTTACCAAGATCTTAGTTTTATTTTATCAGGGCGGTCTTTATGTCCATATCCAGTAGTTGTCCATGTCTCCCATGGTATGAATCAGTTCCACATTAATGTTCTTAAACCCTGATTTAAGTGAACTGTTAAAGGGAGTAGGTCAAGGGTCAACTGCACTATTGAGCAGGAATTAGGCTGCAAAGAAATCTAGAAGGCTAGAACAATTGAACATCAAATATATATATATCTATATATATATATATATCCGAAGTCCAGAATCTAATAGTAGTAGGAAAGAAATTCATGTTGAAAAATAATTAGAAAGCGCAAACCTGTTATGGCTGTCTGTAAACATCCTCAAGAATAATTATTGCAGAGAAAAGAAAAATGGAGAGAGACACCAAGAGATATGGCATTAAACATGAGAAAGTGTTAAAAGAGAGAAGGAAAAAGAGAGTGGGAGACTGTCTTGTCACTCTTCATGTTTGAGATTTTTGCTCATTTTTTGCTGGTCATCGACGAGCAAAAAGCCAGCCACAACATCACTGCAATAGCAGCAGGGTAGTGAGAGAAATGAAGACTTTTCCCTATTGGGGTACTGATTCTATTGAATCATGGGCCTGAAAATGACACATTTTTTATGAGGGAGGGATTTGGAGGTCTGTTTCCTGGTCTGAACGGTTTGACCACCAGATCCAGTCCCATATTCAAAACATTGCTCCACATTCATCTCAATGAGAATTAGTAGAGACTGGTGTCATTAATATTTCTTCCTCTCATTTTAATGTCTTCTCTTTACTTTTCTTACAGGCGATTGGCATATGGCTTACATTTGCATGTACAAGGCCCGAGTCGTTCCCATGTAATTTTTTTTTTCTTCTAATCTTTGATATAGATTGGATTATAAGTTGGGTTACATTGCCATGGGACTTCCACAATTAATGAAGGTTTATGAAAATAGATTTTATATAATTTGATTGTTGTACTATTACGTGTGTTAAATATACGAGTGCCAAAACCTATGTATTTTCGGTGTTATATTTCCCTTCTAAATTGATTATACTCCATTTTAATGTGAATGTGCGAGAGAAACAACCCCTTCTTGTTTCCGGGTTTGAAGAATCATTTTCCTATTTTCTGTTTTTCTGCGTGGAGGTTCAAAGTTCAATGAACTTTGGCAAAGTTCAATGAACTTTGGCAAGGTTCATTTCCTAGTTTCTAGTGTCCCATGAAGGTTCAGAAGTTCAATATACCGGTTTATTGTATTTTCACCGGATCAAGGACCGGGTCTAATCGATATTAACTGTTTCTGGTCGGGTGGTTTGCGGTCGGACTTAAATGCTAACACCCAATTCATATACTCATTCAGATCTATATTGTTGGTTTGAATTGAAATTTCAGTATATCTACATAAGGAGATACTCTTTCCAACTATCATATGATATCATTTCAAAATTTCAAGAATTTCCTTTTGTTAATGAACTCTTTCGATCCTTATCTGTCATAATGTAACTACCAAGATTTAAGTGCTGTTTGGCTCTAAAACGTAAAATATTACCAACAAATCAATGTGAATGAAAGGTGATTGACAGGCATCGAAAAAATGACACGTGAAATCATATGAATATATTTATTGGTCTATTTTTAGTCGAATTGTTTAGTCGATACTTAATATAAAATTCCAGCTTGTCTTATTGCATTGGTCATTACTCATTAGCATCGTCGTCAACGGTCAGATTATGTTCATCTAGTCTTAAGACAGGTGAATTTGTATCTATTATTAATTATGCTGTATAATGATAGCTGATGAAGAAACTTCAAAATTGCTTTTGTAAGGGTAATTCAAATTAATCTATATAATAGTGGTTATATTTCGTTTATAAATGAACCAAATTATTTAATTTCTCTTAAAGGGCCTAATCCTAATAAAAGCATTGTGGAAAAAAAGAGAAAAAAAAAAGAAAAGAAAAAAGGAATGAAAGTTATTAAGGGACAATGAATGAAGTTTAAATTCTTGAGTTCCTTGGTAACGGATGAAGAACTTGGAAGGCCTTAATAAATAAATCCATATTTATTTATATATTATCGGCATGTTGCTTTTTATTCAGAACAAAAAAAATAATGAATAAAAAGGTTAAATGAACTTTGAAGGGCTACATGTAGTCTCCTTTTGCAAACTCACCACTAATTACCATGAAGACGTAACTGTAAACAGAGTTCTGAAAAAGAAAACGAAAAATTTAAAAATTGGGGGGCTAGTATCTCTCTCCACCCCTTCGTTGCTTTCTTCTATTTTTTAAAAATTTTAATACACTTTTTAATCGAAGATAGTGAGTGGGTACACTATTTTTTATTTGTTTATGAAAATAGACGTGTCCATTTATTATTAGTGCACATCAATAATGAAAACGGTGTACTGATAAAGACTTAAAATCTAAAAATTCAAATAGAGTAAAATAAGTAAATAAATAAAAGAAATCCTTAATTTTTGTAATACTCGCTAAAACATATCATACTTCAATAAATGCTCAAACACTTGGCACCAATGTTTGGAAAAACGAACCACTTATTGTAGTCACAAGTCACAACATAGATGACACAATAGAGAATTTTGCTCACCAAGTGCGAATGGCAATAACAAGAGGAAACGCAACAAAAGTTATGGAAGTCTATTAGATAATAAAAATTCAGAGAAGCAAAAAGTAAAACAAATCAGTTGAAGAGATAATTATGTTTTTTTGAAATATACCTTGAAAAATAATAATAATAATAATAATAAGAGAGAAAATTTTGTGCCATATTGATGGATCAAGTTATTTGGCGTAGAACAAAAATTAGAATTCACAATATGTGGAAACAAATTTCCAAATAACTATATATATATATTATGAACATATTATGAACGTAGACTGATGTATGCTCAGCCTTGTTTATAACCATAAATTTTTAAAATTCGTAAGCATATTTATCAACACTAAGCTTGTAACTAAAGTGATAATTTTGAGTTTAATATGAATTTTTCAAAATAATAACCCGTTAAACTTTTTGATTCGTTCACGATTTTAAATCAAGACCAAATTGAGTCCAGGGAGATCAAATAGACTTGAGGTGACTCGGCACAACATAATTTATGCAATTACAGCCGTTCTCAGAATTTACCTTGTTGCCTTTTTAATAAAAAAAAAAGCCTTCCAACTTTTATTTATTTGAAGACAAAATCATCGCCTTCCACCACTTTTAGGCTGAGATGAGAGTACCCCAAGTAGTCAAACAACCAGTAGAACAATAAAACCCTCTGTGTTGTTATGGCGGTGGTCTCGCAACAATGCAACTTAATCGATGGTTATGTAGCTGACGTGGACACGGATTCTATGAGAAATTTCATACTAGTAGCATGTGATGATTCCTCCAAAACAAACCAGAGAAGCTCAAATTTCCCTCGCAACCGAAAGCTCCCCTTTCTCTCTCTAAAATACACATTCTCTCTCTACGCACAGAAAAGCTTCTTCAAAGGTATAACTAAACCCTTGCGTTTTCAATTTGAATACATTATCGTTCTTCAATCTTCTTGCATAAATACTAATTCGTTACATTCGAATAGACATACATAAATACATATATACGGAATTGATTATATGTTTGTGATTTTCAAGTTTCTTCTGATTATGTGTTTTTCTTAATGTAAGTTCTTCATTCTTGATATGTAAGTTCTTCATTCATATATATATATATTCTGTTTGTGTTTAATTTCTGATCCGTGTTGAACCTTAATTGAACAAAGTTCGTCCAATCGAGATTCCAATTTCAAACTGTCATTGTTCTTCTCTGAATGTACGGATCTTCTTAACATGCAGAGACATGCATAAATACACGTACATTGATGTGACTGTAACGACCCTAGCTGATGCCAAAATTTTAAAAAAAATTCGACATAACCTCACCTAAAAATGGGCCTTCAACAACCTGTCCTAATACATAAAACACATAATATCATTCAGCATCCCATTCATCCGTTCATTATACCTCAACATAGTTTCTCTCATGGTGGAATATCCACACACCAATTAATCTAAATTATCATAATTACAGTCCCAAAATACATGGTTAAGATTTAAAATCCCTGTCTTACAACGTTACATGATACAATTGCATGAAAACATATACCATAATTCCATTAGTTTTATTTACATCAAACAAAAGATAAGTTCGTTCTTAAGTTACAAGGCCATGAATACTAACTTAGTTGCATTTCCACAACTACGAATATACACAGAACGGTCAAAATATAAAATAGCAAACAACCTTCTAACAACTTTCAAGCTTGAGGTGGATTGTCGTCCACCAGTTCATTTCCAAGACCTGAAAAATATAATATAAATAGTAGGGTGAGCATAAAGCTCAGCAGGTGACACTTAAGACACACATCTTGTGTCCTTATGAATCCAAATAAAGCATAGGCCAATGGGAAATGGGGATCATACAATGTCGGGAAATAATACAACATAACGATTCAATCTCAAGTATATTCAATGCAATGGTATGAGATGCAATGCATGCTAGTGTCGCTCCCCATTTTCATAATCCAAAACATCTTTTCCAAACTGTTAATACAACTCGCCCTTTGGTAGCTCCGCCGCGACACGAGAGGAGGATTGGCTAGTATCCCTGACCCTTGGTAACCCCGCGGCGTCATTATGGGCCCAGCTAGCTCAACCACACTAGGGCGACTCTTGATTCCCCTCTAGGCTATATTAACCTCTGGCCCGTTGGTAACCCCGCAGCGACCGGGTTTCATATAAAACCATTTCATCAAAAACACTTCTCTGAAATTCCCCGTATTTATTTCAAGAACAATTTCTCCCATTTCATGCAAACCCAATGGTATGTGCATGTATATATGTTCCGTACATTCAATGCCATGGCATTTAAAATTCTACTCCATAAAATTAAACATTCAACATGTTCAACATCTCCCAAGTAATTATTAACACATTAAGATACAACAAAATACATTTAAACATGCTTTACACATAAAACAACTCACATTCATACACATGAATTTTTCTAGACAACATTCATTTAAAATAATCATTGATACAATTAACTTCTAATTAAGCATGCTTGGCACAACAAAGGAATATAACTCACAATGGAACAAGAAAGTAGTGGATTAAGGTGTCCCTACCTCAAAAGTGAGCCAAAACCCTTAAAATGGGTCTCTAAATTTGAAGTCCCTAGGAAGACCAAATCTGAAATTGCTTACACTAGCGCGTAGAGCTCGTTGTGGGCTTCGTTTTGCCTCAAACGGCTCTCAAATCTACCAAGGATTAAGGAAGAAATCAAGAGTGGAAGTTGCAAAAGAAAAAGAAAAAAAGAAATACAGAGGAAGAAAGGCAGCGGGGAGAGAGAAGAGAAGAACAGAAACAATGGGTCTCTAATCCCATTTGGCACATGATAACATAAAATAATGTGAGTCTCACAGCTAAATAAAAAATTTCTTTTAACCTAAATATATATATATATATATAGATAAAGTCAAAAACTTTACAGTGATATTCAAATTTCTTCATTCTTGATTGTGTTTATTTGTTTATATATATATATCACACACAGTCAGTTGTGCAGGTCTCTCTTGATCGCACGTTATTTGTGCATTTATACAACTCACTTTGGATTTGAATAAATTGCTTTTTTTTTTTTTTCCTGGTTCGGTAATTCTTTTTATTTTCTTTTCTGGTTCGGTAATTCTTTTTCTTAATCATTATATTTTCAAAAGATGTCAATAATTTAGTTGACAAAATCCCAGTGATATCAGACTATAACTTTGTTCAAGTCTTCCTAGTAGCATAATTTTGTCTCATATACTAGCACATAGCTATTGCCCCCTGGAGGTAAAATATTCCTAATAAAATAATTAGCAAAAAAATGGAAATGTCAATTCCAGTCATATCATCCACTGGAATCAGGATACTAGATAGGTTAAAAGAGAATTTGATGTTTTGTTCATGCAACTTAAGCACGAAAACTCAGTTACTCAGATAGCACCAATAATCATACGTGACATTATCTTATGGGCTTA